GTAAACTTGACTGTAGCGCCAAGGATCGATTGTAATTAACATTGTTCTATGCAAGTGGGCCCAGGTCTCAAATACTGTGATATGTGGGTGATTTTTAATGACCGTTTCCTACAAATGTAGGCGTTGTATGACTGTAGAATTTGGGATTCGGTGAGGTATCAAGGCCGTAGTTAACATTTTTTAACTTCGGGGGGGCACAAATATTTGTACAAGTATCACTTGTCCCCAACTTGTATTTTCATGATCCAAATAGAACTGTTTTCTATTAAAAAAAATCAGGGGGACAACTGGTAGTGAATTGCCACTGTGTCAGCAATGAACAGAAATGATGCGGGCCTCTGAAACACGCCCGCCTCTAATACAGGCTGTGTCAACTGCATGCATGAAACTAATAGACTCATGAAACTCCTAGGCGCGTGGGCGCAAAATAGAGGAAATAGGGCACCTTAGGGCTTACAGTCGGTTTGGTACATTGTGACTGTACGTGCTTTAGTTTGCACATTAGATAATACTCCGGCTTATTGATGGCGTGCTTATGATGATTTTTGCAATATTAGATTGAACATTATTTATTAGAATGGATTTACTTTATAAAATTAAAATTCATATTCCACGTATTTGCAACACATTTTGGCCATAGAAGGTGATAACGTTTGGTAAAATAAGGTCGTTATAAAAGGTATTTAGTTGAATTATAAATCATATGTGTTTAGTTTTGCCAAACCTGTATAGTTTATAATAGGCCTATAGTTACATTCTTCCTGAGGATAGTCAATTGTTTCTCATCGTTGTAATGGTGCCACCTTTAAAAGACAACTGTATGCCACAGAGTGAACAAACACCTTTCAATTTGTCCTCAGACACTTGAACATACGTCCATACGTGACGTTGTCATTCATAGCGAAAACTCATGTGCGCCAAGGGAGATAACCCTCCCGAGTACTCGAGCACTAGCTCACTCGAGTAATGGATCTACCTGAATCGTACGATTACCCGCGTACCCTATTTCAAACCTATGTATAAATACACTCTGAAATTTTTTGATAAAGGAATACATTTGATTCATTAAAATCCATGTGAAGAATCGATCTCCCACACTTTGCAGAATTTCTGCTCCATAAAAAGTTCAATATATGCTACTATTGCATAGGTGCTATGTATACGGCTTGCCTTGAAATGGCGTAGAATTGTCTCGTTTGGTGAATTACGAAGGACGCGGAATAATAGACACAAAATATTCATGCTTGGAATATATCCTTAGAAGCCATAATACTATTATTTAGGTAAGAGACCCTTTTAAGGGATACTTCTATTGGGCAGGATCACGGCTTGGCTTTAAATGGCGTAGAATTGTCTCGTTTGGTGAATTACGAAGGACGCGTAATAAAAGACACAAAATATTTATGCTTGGAATATATCCTTAGAAGCCATAATGCAATTATTAAGGTAAGTATGTATATGATACACTTATTTCCATGGGAGAAGGACCCTTTTAAGGGATACTACTATTGGGCAGGATCACGGCTTGGCTTTAAATGGCGTAGAATTGTCTCGTTTGTTGAATTACGAAGGACGCGTAATAAAAGACACAAAATATTCATGCTTGGAACATATCCTTAGAAGCCATAATGCAATTATTAAGGTAAGTATGTATATGATACACTTATTTCCGTGGGAGAAAGACCCTTTCAAACGATTCTACTATTGCGTAGATGCTATGTATACGGCTTGCCTTGAAATGGCGTAGAATTGTCTCGTTTGGTGAATTACGAAGGACGCGTAATAAAAGACACAAAATATTCATGCTTGGAATATATCCTTAGAAGCCATAATACTATTAGTTAGGTAAGTATGTATATGATACACTTATTTCCGTGGGAGAAAGACCCTTTCAAGCGATACTACTATTGGGCAGGATCACAGCTTGGCTTTAAATGGCGTAGAATTGTCTCGTTTGTTGAATTACGAAGGACGCGTAATAAAAGACACAAAATATTCATGCTTGGAATATATCCTTAGAAGCCATAATGCAATTATTAAGGTAAGTATGTATATGATACACTTATTTCCATTGGAGAAAGACCCTTTCAAGTGATACTACTATTGGGCAGGATCACGGCTTGGCTTTAAATGGCGTAGAAATGTCTCGTTTGGTGAATTACGAAGGACGCGTAATAAAAGACACAAAATATTCATGCTTGGAATATATACTAAGAAGCCATAATGCTATTATTTAGGTAAGTATGTATATGATACACTTATTTCCGTGGGAGAAAGACCCTTTCAAGTGATACTACTATTGGGCAGGATCACGGCTTGGCTTTAAATGGCGTAGAATTGTCTCGTTTGGTGAATTACGAAGGACGCGTAATAAAAGACACAAAATATTCATGCTTGGAATATATCCTAAGAAGCCATAATACTATTATTTAGGTAAGTATGTATATGATACACTTATTTCCGTGGGAGAAAGACCCTTTCAAGCGATACTACTATTGGGCAGGATCACGGCTTGGCTTTAAATGGCGTAGAATTGTCTCGTTTGGTGAATTACGAAGGACGCGTAATAAAAGACACAAAATATTCATGCTTGGAATATATACTAAGAAGCCATAATACTATTATTTAGGTAAGTATGTATATGATACACTTATTTCCGTGGGAGAAAGACCCTTTCAAGTGATACTACTATTGGGCAGGATCACGGCTTGGCTTTAAATGGCGTAGAATTGTCTCGTTTGTTGAATTACGAAGGACGCGTAATAAAAGACACAAAATATTCATGCTTGGAATATATACTAAGAAGCCATAATACTATTATTTAGGTAAGTATGTATATGATACACTTATTTCCGTGGGAGAAAGACCCTTTCAAGCGATACTACTATTGGGCAGGATCACGGCTTGGCTTTAAATGGCGTAGAATTGTCTCGTTTGGTGAATTACGAAGGACGCGTAATAAAAGACACAAAATATTCATGCTTGGAATATATCCTAAGAAGTCATAATGCTATTATTTAGGTAAGTATGTATATGATACACTTATTTCCGTGGGAGAAAGACCCTTTCAAGTGATACTACTATTGGGCAGGATCACGGCTTTCTCGCATGTTCATGAATGTGTAACAGACAAATGTACTAATGTTTACCCTCTCCCTCCGATTTCACACACAAAATACTGTTGATTTTACATTCAAATGGGTCGAACTTTCGTAGCTATAGACTCGGAGTGAAACACTAAATAAATCACAATGATTTAAGAATCTCATTTTCAAGTACATAATAATACGCCAGCCAGAAATATTTTACGTCCGTTTCCTAAGATTCAAGGAAAGTGTTGAAATAATTTCGATTTATAAATAAGATAAAACATCTTAGGTCATGTACAGGAGAATTGTGTCTGGTTGTTCCACGGCCTTTCACCATCAGTTTGTCATAGTGGAAACAGAACTCGTATGTACCTCGAATGCTCCACTGATAATATTTGTGTCATTTTTTTAACCGGACTGTAATGTATGAACACACAATGCCATTTAAAGAGTGGTCAAATGTAACATGTTATGTTTGGGGTTAACACTTTCTTAGTAAAGTACAGATTCTAGTACTTTTGGGGGCTGAGTTCCATCCGGGATCCGGGATTCGAATCAACACTGCCAGAGTGAGGGACCTAATCGCCAGCACACAAAGTCAGCAACCTAACCCACTCAGCCACCGAGGCTTCCACAAAAATGAAAGTCTGACAACTAGAATATGTACTTAACTAAGAAAGTGTTATCCCAAATGTAACATTTATTACATACTGTAATGTAGCTCTAATGGTTATCTAGCATTAAAATCACTAACAAGCTTTTACTTTTGTTATGTAGTTATTTCCAAAAGAACGCCAGATCAATGAATAATTAACAAATCTCATTGAAACACGCGGAAGCTCGCATCACAACAGCAGCCCAGGGTCGCTACCTTCAAGTCTTCAACACAGGACACTCACTGCAACGTCCTGTGCAACACCAATTCTTGGTCTACGTCCCATACGTCCACGGCCATAACCATTAACCAGCAATATCCGAGCCATATGGCCCTACCACTGCCAACGCGAAGACGTCGGGGTTTTCTTTCCCTATGTGGTCCTTGAGAGAGAAGCGAAGAAACATTCATTACAACTGATTAATTGGTGAACATCCAGAAAGTGTCCGGCGTTGGGTTTTTTAAGAATAAGACAGACGAAATAACCCCATGCCTGTTGCTCTGCCAATTTCGTTTAGCAAACAAAAATCACCTGGGAAGTGTAATTTACGGAAGTATTTTAGGGCCATTTGTTTTTTATATTCTTTTCGATACTATCTTGAAATTTCAAGATACTAGTTGAAATTTCAAGATATAGAAGTTGAAATCTCAAGATAGTATCTTGAAATTTCAACTTAGTTTCTTGAAATTACAACTAAGCATAATCCAATTGAGTTCAATTACAATTAGTAATAATTAGATTTACTATATGGGAGATTTCAACCAGACTGGTCTCCTTCTGTGTGTTGCGCAACTGGCATAATTATAAATAGACGGACTCCAAATCCATTATTTGTGTAAGCCTGACAGTCACAGATAGTAGTTAAAATAAACTCGAAAAATATCTTTTGACATTATTTTAAAAAGAAAATGCATATTGGTGGAATAATTCAACTGCATCCCCAACTCGATCTATGGTATAAACTCGATCTATGGTATACAACTGTAAATGAAAACGATGAAAATAGAGATATTGACAAAACTAACATTATTTGTATGTGTGGGTAAGAGGGCGTTCCTCGAATGTCTCACAGTCCCTGAACCCTATTTTATTCCCTTCCGCCCGGCCCTTTCTGCAACAGCCCGAAATGAAGCAAATCTAGATTTTCCTCACATTCTCAATGGGGCTCCTTTTTTAAATTAAATGGAGTTTCTTTTAAAATATTATATTTTCAGAGACGAAGCGTAAGTCTAGCACCATCCAACACGACCTTGAACTTTCTTGAACAAAATGGCGGCCAGGAAGCGATTTTTATGAATGATAACCACAATGTTTGCTGTTTTATAAGCAAAATATGATATGTCAAGGGATGTCTTATCATCCCGTGGATACATAAGGTAGTATCTTTCCTTATCAATACTTTTTTAAATATTTTGCATGTATAGATAAAGTTGTAGCCACGGATATAGCAAGACTTGTATTCGACTGCACCAACAGGCACTGCTGGGTGCGGCCGAGGCAAGACATGCTCCTTGGTGTCAAGTCTCTCTCCTCCAAGGAAATAATGGAGCAATGTTCATTAATATTATGACCGCTAATTGTAAATGAACAGCATTCTTGTATACACAGATGCGCCGTAAGTGTGTCCAGTGTGAATTTGGATTGTTTTTACCTTTTCTCTTAAAAACTAACTCGCATGATATCTCTCTCATATTGTCAGCCTAAAGTTTGTTAAAAAGCTCTCTTTCCAAAGTATCGTCTGGTTTAAATGGCAACCACACAATCGTTAGCCATTATTTGTGTGTTATTTTTTCAGATAATTTAATATATTTGAAGTGGCCACTGACTATGGTATTTAATTGAATCTCGCATGCTTTGACCGTTACTTTGCCTCAATTGCGTGGATCAATGTTCATGATATCAATCACTGGATTGTCTGGTCCAGACTCGATTAGCAGGAATGTTGCTGAGTGCAGCGTAAACAACAAACCAACCAACCAACCAGTACAATTATGTGTAATCTACAGGGCACAGCTAGCAGTAACCTTGATTTTCTGTTGAGAAACACATTTTGACTCCGAGCAGTTCATGCTTGAAGAATGAAAAAAATAGTCTAGTCACTTGATAAAAAAAATGGTAAAATATCTTTAAAAAACTTTCCGACTTTATTCCTCAGAGACCACAGGCTGAAAGACTTTGCTATGATGTGTAATAAACAATGGGAATCAAAATATAACTTATTTTTATGAATTGATTTTATTCTAAATTAAGTTAACTTTTTCAAACCTTGCAAGAAAGGCTGAGGAAGCTGCAGTGGTATGGTGCTCAAAGCTGTACATGCCAGTTGTTGTTTTTGTTGTTGCAGTGATATGGTGCTCAAAGCTGTACATGCCAGTTGTTGTTGTTGCAGTGGTATGGTGCTCAAAGCTGTACATGCCAGTTGTTGTTGTTGTTGCTGCAGTGGTATGGTGCTCAAAGCTGTACATGCCAGTTGTTGTTGTTGCTGCTGCAGTGGTATGGTGCTCAAAGCTGTACATGCCAGTTGTTGTTGTTGTTGTTGTTACAGTGGTATGGTGCTCAAAGCTGTACATGCCAGTTGTTGTTGTTGCAGTGGTATGGTGCTCAAAGCTGTACATGCCAGTTGTTGTTGTTGTTGCTGCAGTGGTATGGTGCTCAAAGCTGTACATGCCAGTTGTTGTTGTTGTTGCTGCAGTGGTATGGTGCTCAAAGCTGTACATGCCAGTTGTTGTTGTTGTTGTTACAGTGGTATGGTGCTCAAAGCTGTACATGCCAGTTGTTGTTGTTGTTGCAGTGGTATGGTGCTCAAAGCTGTACATGCCAGTTGTTGTTGTTGCAGTGGTATGGTGCTCAAAGCTGTACATGCCAGTTGTTGTTGTTGTTGTTGCAGTGGTATGGTGCTCAAAGCTGTACATGCCAGTTGTTGTTGTTGTTGCTGCAGTGGTATGGTGCTCAAAGCTGTACATGCCAGTTGTTGTTGTTGTTGCTGCAGTGGTATGGTGCTCAAAGCTGTACATGCCAGTTGTTTTTGTTGTTGCTGCAGTGGTATGGTGCTCAAAGCTGTACATGCCAGTTGTTGTTGTTGTTGCAGTGGTATGGTGCTCAAAGCTGTACATGCCAGTTGTTGTTGTTGCAGTGGTATGGTGCTCAAAGCTGTACATGCCAGTTGTTGTTGTTGTTGCTGCAGTTGTATGGTGCTCAAAGCTGTACATGCCAGTTGTTGTTGTTGTTGCTGCAGTGGTATGGTGCTCAAAGCTGTACATGCCAGTTGTTGTTGTTGTTGCTGCAGTGGTATGGTGCTCAAAGCTGTACATGCCAGTTGTTGTTGTTACAGTGGTATGGTGCTCAAAGCTGTACATGCCAGTTGTTGTTGTTGCTGCTGCAGTGGTATGGTGCTCAAAGCTGTACATGCCAGTTGTTGTTGTTGTTGCAGTGGTATGGTGCTCAAAGCTGTACATGCCAGTTGTTGTTGTTGTTGTTGCAGTGGTATGGTGCTCAAAGCTGTACATGCCAGTTGTTGTTGTTGTTGCTGCAGTGGTATGGTGCTCAAAGCTGTACATGCCAGTTGTTGTTGTTGTTGTTGCAGTGGTATGGTGCTCAAAGCTGTACATGCCAGTTGTTGTTGTTGTTGCTGCAGTGGTATGGTGCTCAAAGCTGTACATGCCAGTTGTTGTTGTTGCAGTGGTATGGTGCTCAAAGCTGTACATACCAGTTGTTGCTGTTGTTGTTGCTGCAGTGGTATGGTTCTCAAAGCTGTACATGCCAGTTGTTGTTGTTACAGTGGTATGGTGCTCAAAGCTGTACATGCCAGTTGTTGTTGTTGCTGCTGCAGTGGTATGGTGCTCAAAGCTGTACATGCCAGTTGTTGTTGTTGTTGCAGTGGTATGGTGCTCAAAGCTGTACATGCCAGTTGTTGTTGTTGTTGTTGCAGTGGTATGGTGCTCAAAGCTGTACATGCCAGTTGTTGTTGTTGTTGCTGCAGTGGTATGGTGCTCAAAGCTGTACATGCCAGTTGTTGTTGTTGTTGTTGCAGTGGTATGGTGCTCAAAGCTGTACATGCCAGTTGTTGTTGTTGTTGCTGCAGTGGTATGGTGCTCAAAGCTGTACATGCCAGTTGTTGAGGAAGCTGCAGTGGTATGGTGCTCAAAGCTGTACATGCCAGTTGTTGTTGTTGCTGCTGCAGTGGTATGGTGCTCAAAGCTGTACATGCCAGTTGTTGTTGTTGTTGCTGCAGTGGTATGGTGCTCAAAGCTGTACATGCCAGTTGTTGTTGTTGTTGTTGCAGTGGTATGGTGCTCAAAGCTGTACATGCCAGTTGTTGTTGTTGTTTCAGTGGTATGGTGCTCAAAGCTGTACATGCCAGTTGTTGTTGTTGTTGTTACAGTGGTATGGTGCTCAAAGCTGTACATGCCAGTTGTTGTTGTTGCTGCTGCAGTGGTATGGTGCTCAAAGCTGTACATGCCAGTTGTTGTTGTTGCTGCTGCAGTGGTATGGTGCTCAAAGCTGTACATGCCAGTTGTTGTTATTGTTACAGTGGTATGGTGCTCAAAGCTGTACATGCCAGTTGTTGTTGTTGTTGTTGCTGCAGTGGTATGGTGCTCAAAGCTGTACATGCCAGTTGTTGTTGTTGTTGTTACAGTGGTATGGTGCTCAAAGCTGTACATGCCAGTTGTTGTTGTTGTTGCTGCAGTGGTATGGTGCTCAAAGCTGTACATGCCAGTTGTTGTTGTTGTTGTTGCAGTGGTATGGTGCTCAAAGCTGTACATGCCAGTTGTTGTTGTTGTTGCTGCAGTGGTATGGTGCTCAAAGCTGTACATGCCAGTTGTTGTTGTTGTTGCAGTGGTATGGTGCTCAAAGCTGTACATGCCAGTTGTTGTTGTTGTTGTTGCTGCAGTGGTATGGTGCTCAAAGCTGTACATGCCAGTTGTTGTTGTTGTTGCAGTGGTATGGTGCTCAAAGCTGTACATGCCAGTTGTTGTTGTTGTTGTTGCAGTGGTATGGTGCTCAAAGCTGTACATGCCAGTTGTTGTTGTTGTTGCAGTGGTATGGTGCTCAAAGCTGTACATGCCAGTTGTTGTTGTTGTTGCAGTGGTATGGTGCTCAAAGCTGTACATGCCAGTTGTTGTTGTTGTTGTTGCAGTGGTATGGTGCTCAAAGCTGTACATGCCAGTTGTTGTTGTTGTTGTTGCAGTGGTATGGTGCTCAAAGCTGTACATGCCAGTTGTTGTTGTTGTTGTTGCAGTGGTATGGTGCTCAAAGCTGTACATGCCAGTTGTTGTTGTTGTTGCTGCAGTGGTATGGTGCTCAAAGCTGTACATGCCAGTTGTTGTTGTTGTTGTTGCAGTGGTATGGTGCTCAAAGCTGTACATGCCAGTTGTTGTTGTTGTTGCAGTGGTATGGTGCTCAAAGCTGTACATGCCAGTTGTTGTTGTTGTTGCAGTGGTATGGTGCTCAAAGCTGTACATGCCAGTTGTTGTTGTTGCTGCTGCAGTGGTATGGTGCTCAAAGCTGTACATGCCAGTTGTTGTTGTTGCTGTTGCAGTGGTATGGTGCTCAAAGCTGTACATGCCAGTTGTTGTTGTTGTTACAGTGGTATGGTGCTCAAAGCTGTACATGCCAGTTGTTGTTGTTGCTGTTGCAGTGGTATGGTGCTCAAAGCTGTACATGCCAGTTGTTGTTGTTGTTACAGTGGTATGGTGCTCAAAGCTGTACATGCCAGTTGTTGTTGTTGCAGTGGTATGGTGCTCAAAGCCGTACGTGCCAGTTGTTGTTGTTGTTTGTTGTGTAACTGCACATTCAGCAGTATTCCAGCTATATGACAGCATATATGTAAATAATCAGGCTGGACCAGACAATCCGGTGATTGAAAACATGACAATCAATTGATCTATGCAAGTAGGATGCAACAACATGCATCAACCAAGTCAGCGAGCCTGGCCACCCAATCCCATTAGTCGCTTCTTACAACAAGCTTGGATTGCTGAAGTTCAATTGTAACCCATGTCTTCACTGATTGTTCATGCCAGTCAAATGTCTTTTTGAAAATTAAAAACAACACTTTTTCGGAGATGGGGCCCAGCATGGAGAGATGATACCTTAAATCATACAAAGTTTTTCATGCCAGTCAAATATATAAAGTACCTTTCTCATAAGAAATGGCAAAAATGTTTTGCAGGGTTTGAAATTAGATGATATCCTTAATATTATGAACTGTTCCTTTATATGTTTGAAAATAAGGTGGTCCTGGGGTCCTTCAGGTTTGTTGCTATAGTATTTGATTCAAGGAAGCCCCTTTAATTTTGAACTTTTCACATTAGGGCTATGACAAGTACTCTTTGAGTCTCATGCTTAATTTCGAACCCTGTTTTAGGTCTCAGAAGATTTGTTTCATTTGTTTGACATCTTCCACTCAGCATGCTCAGGTTCATCCGGAGAATTTCATTCAGGATCATGTTTATCATTGTTATCCAATTTGAAATGAGTAACTTTGTTGCAGCTGAGGACCACTGCCACCAGCTGTTGGTCACACCATCACCACCACCCACAACAGAGAACTGGGCACAGAGGACACAGTCACTAATGTAGTGTCTGGAGGCTAGGCCAGGAGAGACACCATCACCACCACCCACAACAGAGAACTGGGCACAGAGGACACAGTCGCTAATGTAGTGTCTGGAGGCTAAGCCAGGAGAGACACCATCACCACCACCCACAACAGAGAACTGGGCACAGAGGACACAGTCGCTAATGTAGTGTCTGGAGGCTAAGCCAGGAGAGACACACAAACACACCCAGACACATAGATGGTAGGGACAAGACAAAGTTTTATTATTATGTTGAGTAGAGACAAGCACCTGACAGCCCCTGTTGAGTAGAGACATGCACCTGACAGCCCCTGTTGAGTAGAGGAGTGCACCTGACAGCCCCTGTTGAGTAGATACATGCACCTGACAGCCCCTGTTGAGTAGAGACAAGCACCTGACAGCCCCTGTTGAGTAGAGACATGCACCTGACAGCCCCTGTTGAGTAGAGACATGCACCTGACAACCCCTGTTGAGTAGAGACAAGCACCTGACAGCCCCTGTTGAGTAGAGGAGTGCACCTGACAGCCCCTGTTGAGTAGATACATGCACCTGACAGCCCCTGTTGAGTAGAGACAAGCACCTGACAGCCCCTGTTGAGTAGAGACATGCACCTGACAGCCCCTGTTGAGTAGAGGAGTGCACCTGACAGCCCCTGTTGAGTAGATACATGCACCTGACAGCCCCTGTTGAGTAGAGACAAGCACCTGACAGCCGCTGTTGAGTAGAGACATGCACCTGACAGCCCCTGTTGAGTAGAGACATGCACCTGACAACCCCTGTTGAGTAGAGACAAGCACCTGACAGCCCCTGTTGAGTAGAGACATGCACCTGACAGCCCCTGTTGAGTAGAGGAGTGCACCTGACAGCCCCTGTTGAGTAGATACATGCACCTGACAGCCCCTGTTGAGTAGAGACAAGCACCTGACAGCCCCTGTTGAGTAGAGACATGCACCTGACAGCCCCTGTTGAGTAGAGACATGCACCTGACAACCCCTGTTGAGTAGAGACAAGCACCTGACAGCCCCTGTTGAGTAGAGGAGTGCACCTGACAGCCCCTGTTGAGAAGAGACATGCACCTAACAGCCCCTGTTGAGTAGATACATGCACCTGACAGCCCCTGTTGAGTAGAGACAAGCACCTGACAGCCCCTGTTGAGTAGAGACATGCATCTGACAGCCCCTGTTGAGTAGAGACAAGCACCTGACAGCCCCTGTTGAGTAGACACATGCACCTGACAGCCCCTGTTGAGTAGAGACAAGCACCTGACAGCCCCTGTTGAGTAGACACATGCACCTGACAGCCCCTGTTGAGTAGAGACATGCACCTGACAGCCCCTGTTGAGTAGAGACATGCATCTGACAGCCCCTGTTGAGTAGAGACAAGCACCTGACAGCCCCTGTTGAGAAGAGGAGTGCACCTGACAGCCCCTGTTGAGTAGAGACAAGCACCTGACAGCCCCTGTTGAGTAGAGACATGCACCTGACAGACCCTGTTGAGTAGAGACAAGCACCTGACAGCCCCTGTTGAGTAGAGACATGCACCCGGCAGCCCCTGTTGAGTAGAGACATGCACCTGACAGCCCCTGTTGAGTAGAGACAAGCACCTGACAGCCCCTGTTGAGAAGAGGAGTGCACCTGACAGCCCCTGTTGAGTAGAGACATGCACCTGGCAGCCCCTGTTGAGTAGAGACATGCACCTGACAGCCCCTGTTGAGTAGAGACATGCACCCGGCAGCCCCTGTTGAGTAGAGACATGCACCAGACAGCCCCTGTTGAGAAGAGGGGTGACAGCAACCATGTCCTTGCAATTAGTACCTACACATGTTCTTTGCTTTCACGTGTTCACCTGTTCACTGATCTCACATGCCTTCACCTGTTCACTGATCTCACATGCCTTCTCTGGTTCACCTGTTCACTGATCTCACATGCATTCTTTTGTTCACCTGTTCACTGATCTCACATGCCTTCACATGTTCACCTGTTCACTGATCTCACATGCTTTCACCTGTTCACTGATCTCACATGCCTTCACTTGTTCACCTGTTCATTGATCTCACATGCCTTCTCTTGTTCACCTGTTCACTGATCTCACATGCCTTCACTTGTTCACCTGTTCATTGATCTCACATGCCTTCACTTGTTCACCTGTTCACTGATCTCACATGCCTTCACTTGTTCACCTGTTCACTGATCTCAAATGCCTTCTCTTGTTCACCTGTTCACTGATCTCACATGCCTTCACTTGTTCACCTGTTCACTGATCTCACATGCCTTCACTTGTTCACCTGTTCACTGATCTCACATGCCTTCTCTTGTTCATCTGTTCATTGATCTCACATGCCTTCTCTTGTTCACCTGTTCATTGATCTCACATGCCTTCTCTGGTTCAACTGTTTACTGATCTCACATGCCTTCACTTGTTCACCTGTTCACTGATCTCACATGCCTTCACTTGTTCACCTGTTCATTGATCTCACATGCCTTCTCTGGTTCAACTGTTTACTGATCTCAGATGCCTTGACTTGTTCACCTGTTCATTGATCTCACATGCCTTCACTTGTTCACCTGTTCACTGATCTCACATGCCTTCACTTGTTCACCTGTTCACTGATCTCACATGCATTCTTTTGTTCACCTGTTCACTGATCTCACATGCCTTCTCTTGTTCACCTGTTAATTGATCTCACATGCCTTCTCTGGTTCAACTGTTTACTGATCTCACATGCCTTCACTTGTTCACCTGTTTATTGATCTCACATGCCTTCTCTTGTTCACCTGTTCACTGATCTCACATGCCTTCACTTGTTCACCTGTTTACTGATCTCACATGCCTTCACTTGTTCACCTGTTTATTGATCTCACATGCCTTCTCTTGTTCACCTGTTCACTGATCTCACATGCCTTCACTTGTTCACCTGTTCATTGATCTCACATGCCTTCTCTGGTTCAACTGTTTACTGATCTCACATGCCTTCACTTGTTCACCTGTTCACTGATCTCACATGCCTTCTCTTGTTCACCTGTTAATTGATCTCACATGCCTTCTCTGGTTCAACTGTTTACTGATCTCACATGCCTTCACTTGTTCACCTGTTTATTGATCTCACATGCCTTCTCTTGTTCACCTGTTCACTGATCTCACATGCCTTCACTTGTTCACCTGTTCATTGATCTCACATGCCTTCTCTGGTTCAACTGTTTACTGATCTCACATGCCTTCACTTGTTCACCTGTTCACTGATCTCACATGCCTTCACTTGTTCACCTGTTCATTGATCTCACATGCCTTCTCTTGTTCACTGTTCTAACATGCCTTCATGTGTTCGCTGATCTCACATGCCTTCATGTGTTCACCTGTTCACTGATCTCACATGCCTTCTCTGGTTCACCTGTTCACTGATCTCACATGCCTTCATGTGTTCACCTGTTCACTGATCTCACATGCCTTCTCTGGTTCACCTGTTCACTGATCTCACATGCCTTCTCTTGTTCACCTGTTCACTGATCTCACATGCCTTCTCTTGTTCACCTGTTCACTGATCTCACATGCCTTCTCTTGTTCACCTGTTCACTGATCTCACATACCTTCACTTGTTCACCTTTTCACTTATCTCACATGCCTTCACCTGTTCACTGATCTCACATGCCTTCACTTGTTCACCTGTTCACTGATCTCACATGCCTTCTCTGGTTCACCTGTTCACTGTTCTCACATGCCTTCACCTGTTCACTGATCTCACATGCCTTCACCTGTTCACTGATCTCACATGCCTTCTCTTGTTCACCTCTTCACTGATCTCACATGCCTTCACTTGTTCACCTGTTCACTGATCTCACATGCCTTCTCTGGTTCACCTGTTCACTGATCTCCCATGCCTTCACCTGTTCACTGATCTCACATGCCTTCACCTGTTCACTGATCTCACATGCCTTCTCTTGTTCACCTGTTCACTGATCTCACATGCCTTCACCTGTTCACTGATCTCACATGCCTTCACTTGTTCACCTGTTCACTGATCTCACATGCCTTCTCTTGTTCACCTGTTCACTGATCTCACATGCCTTCTCTTGTTCACTGATCTCACATGCCTTCACTTGTTCACCTGTTCACTGATCTCACATGCCTTCTCTTGTTCACCTGTTCACTGATCTCACATGCCTTCTCTTGTTCACCTGTTCACTGATCTCACATGCCTTCACTTGTTCACCTGTTCACTGATCTCACATGCCTTCTCTTGTTCACCTGTTCACTGATCTCACATGCCTTCTCTTGTTCACCTGTTAACTGATCTCACATGCCTTCACTTGTTCACCTGTTCACTGATCTCACATGCCTTCTCTTGTTGTGTGGTTAATGAAGGTTACCCTGACACACACACACACACCCAAAACCCCACCCACAACCCACTTTCATAATACACTGTTTGAGGTAAACAGTGACAGGGTAGAGAGCCTCACCAGCAATACACAGGTGTGAACACCTGAGTCATAAAGTCAGTTCTAATAAACAAACAAGAATTGATTGTAAACAAACAAATATTTTTTTCAATACTGATAATTTTGTGTATCATGAGTATGTCTTGATTATGCACAATAAGTGTTGCAGAAAAGTTACAAGTTTGTCCAGGTCTAAATTTCAAATTCTTGTTTCAGTTCCGGTCTGCCTGGTTTCCGCGACCACGCCACGCCAAGCCAGGGCAATGGTTGGGCTCGCATGTTAGAGTCTTAGGGTTAGGGAGCCAGGTCAAGGGTGGGGCTTCCCTGTTAGGGTCTTAGGGTTAGGGGACCAGGGCAAGGGTTGGGCTCCCCTGTTAGGGTCTTAGGATTAGGGCAAGGCTGGGGCTCCCCTATTTGGGTCTTAGGGTTAGGGAACCAGGGCAAGGGTGGGGCTCCCCTGTTAGGGTCTTAGGATCAGGGAGCCAGGGCAAGGGTTGGGCTCCCCTGTTAGGGTCTTAGGGTTAGGAGCCCAGGGCAAGGGTTGGGCTCCCCTGTTAGGGTCTTAGGGTCAGGGAGCCAGGGCAAGGGTTGGGCTCCCCTGTTAGGGTCTTAGGGTCAGGGAGCCAGGGCAAGGGTGGGGCTTCCCTGTTAGGGTCTTAGGGTTAGGAGCCCAGGGCAAGGGTTGGGCTCCCCTGTTAGGGTCTTAGGGTCAGGGAGCCAGGGCAAGGGTTGGGCCCCCCTGTTAGGGTCTTAGGGTTAGGGGACCAGGGCAAGGGTTGGGCTCCCCTGTAAGGGTCTTATGATTAGGGCAAGGCTGGGGCTCCCCTATTTGGGTCTTAGGGTCAGGGAGCCAGGGCAAGGGTTGGGCTCCCCTATTAGGGTCTTAGGGTTAGGGGACCAGGGCAAGGGTGGGGCTCCCCTTTTAGGGTCTTAGGGTTAGGGAGCCAGGGCAAGGGTGGGGCTCCCCTGTAAGGGTCTTATGATTAGGGCAAGGCTGGGGCTCCCCTATTTGGGTCTTAGGGTCAGGGAGCCAGGGCAAGGGTTGGGCTCCCCTATTAGGGTCTTAGGGTTAGGGGACCAGGGCAAGGGTGGGGCTCCCCTTTTAGGGTCTTAGGGTTAGGGAGCCAGGGCAAGGGTGGGGCTCCCCTGTTAGGGTCTTATGATTAGGGCAAGGCTGGGGCTCCCCTATTTGGGTCTTAGGGTCAGGGAGCCAGGGCAAGGGTGGGACACCCCTGTTAGGGTCTTAGGGTTAGGGTGCCAGGGCAAGGGTTGGGCTCCCCTGTTAGGGTCTTAGGGTTAGGGAGCCAGGGCAAGGGTGGGGCTCCCCTGTTAGGGTCTTAGGGCTAGGGTGCCAGGGCAAGGGTGGGGCTCCCCTTTTAGAGTCTTAGGGTTAGGGGACCAGGGCAAGGTTTGGGCTCCCCTGTTAGGGTCTTAGGGTTAGGGAGCCAGGGCAAGGGTGGGGCTCCCCTGTTAGGGTCTTATGATTAGGGCAAGGCTGGGGCTCCCCTATTTGGGTCTTAGGGTCAGGGAGCCAGGGCAAGGGTGGGGCACCCCTGTAAGGGTCTTAGGGTTAGGGAGCCAGGGCAAGGCTGGGGCTCCCCTATTTGGGTCTTAGGGTTAGGGAACCAGGGCAAGGGTGGGGCTCCCCTATTAGGGTCTTAGGGTTAGGGTGCCAGGGCAAGGGTGGGGCTCCCCTGTTAGGGTCTTAGGGTCAGTGAGCCAGGTCAAAGTTGGGGCTCCCCTGTTGGGGTCTTAGGGTTAGGGAACCAGGGCAAGGGTTGGGCTCCCCTGTTAGGGTCTTAGGGTCAGGGAACCAGGGCAAGGGTTGGGCTCCCCTGTTAGGGTCTTAGGGTCAGGGAACCAGGGCAAGGGTTGGGCTCCCCTGTTAGGGTCTTAGGGTCAGGGAACCAGGGCAAGGGTGGGGCTCCCCTGTTAGGGTCTTAGGGTTAGGGGACCAGGGCAAGGGTGGGGCTCCCCTGTTAGGGCCTTAGGGTTAGGGAACCAGGGCAAGGGTGGGGCTCCCCTGTTAGGGTCTTAGGGTTAGGGGACCAGGGCAAGGGTGGGGCTCCCCTGTTAGGGTCTTAGGGTTAGGGAGCCAGGGCAAGGGTTGGGCTCCCCTGTTAGGGTCTTAGGGTTAGGGAGCCAGGGCAAGGGTTGGGCTCCCCTGTTAGGGTCTTAGGGTTAGGGAACCAGGGCAATGGTTGGGCTCCCCTGTTAGGGCCTTAGGGTTAGGGAACCAGGGCAAGGGTGGGGCTCCCCTGTTAGGGTCTTAGGGTTAGGGAGCCAGGGCAAGGGTTGGGCTCCCCTGTTAGGGTCTTAGGGTTAGGGAGCCAGGGCAAGGGTTGGGCTCCCCTGTTAGGGTCTTAGGGTTAGGGAACCAGGGCAATGGTTGGGCTCCCCTGTTAGGGCCTTAGGGTTAGGGAACCAGGGCAAGGGTGGGGCTCCCCTGTTAGGGTCTTAGGGTTAGGGAGCCAGGGCAAGGGTTGGGCTCCCCTGTTAGGGTCTTAGGGTTAGAGGACCTAGATAAGAGTTTGGCACCCTTATTTGTGTCTAAGGGAAACACTGCTAACAGGGAAAGGTGTCCTGGAATTGATGCTTGACCACTTCCCGAAACTTTAGGGATAGCTGTTTTTGGGGGGATGTCAACCTCAGAAGCAGAACAAACAGCACATATGCATGCTTACAAATTGTGACACAGTCACCTTGGCAAGCCTTTATATATAACATGGTGAGGTGTGGTTGCTAGGGTATATAACATGGTGAGTGGATGTTAGTGATGTATATAACCTGGGGAGGTGTGGTTAGCAGGGGATATAACATGGAGAGTGGAGGATATAACATGGGGAGTGGGGCATATAACATGGGGAGTGGGGGATATGACATGGGGAGTGGGGTATATAACATGGGGAGTGGGGGACATAACATGGGGAGTGGAGTATATAACATGGGGGAATGGAGGATATAACATGGTGAGTGGGGGGTATAACATGGGGAGGTGTGGTTGGTGGGGATATAACATGGGAGTGGGGGGTATAACATGGGGAGGTGTGGTTGGTGGGGATATGACATGGGGAGTGGAGGATATAACATGGGGGAGTGGAGGATATAACATGGGAGTGGGGGGTATAACATGGGGAGGTGTGGTTGGTGGGGATATGACATGGGGAGTGGAGTATATAACATGGGAAATGGAGGATATAACATGGGAGTGGGGGGTATAACATGGGGAGGTGTGGTTAGATGGGGATATGACATGGGGAGTGGGGGGTATAACATGGGGAGGTGTGGTTGGTGGGGATATGACATGGGGAGTGGAGGATATAACATGGGGAATGGAGGATATAACATGGGAGTCGGGCGTATAACATGGGGAGGTGTGGTTAGATGGGGATTGAACATGGGGAGTGAGAAAGTGAATCAATGCATGTATAGATGTGAATCTCTGTTCACAAGGAGGATCGATTGAGTCACCAGAGTGTTTGACTGAATGAATCATTGAGTGAGAGTAAGTGAGTGTTTGTTCCTTCATTAGTTCTTTCTTTTCATGGTCGCTATCTGCCTGAAATAATGCTGATGCAACATTAATTTTTAACTCACTCACTCCTTCTTTTCATGGGTCTATTCACACTAAGGTAGTTCTCACTGAATAGTTCTGCCAATGAATAAAAAAGACCTAGTAAGCATATGGCAGTGCACCATTTTGGAATCTGATCCGATTGTTAACCTGAGTTACAAAAGTCGGATCAAACCAATTTAGTTTTCCTATTTTCTCCTGAATCAATGTACAAATGGCCAGGAGGCCAAAGTAAAATGCTGTGGGCGTCCATTGGAGTCTCATTCCTTGACAATTAAAGCTTTTAATAAAGAAAGTGAACAAATATGTTTGTTTGTTTGTTTGTTTTAATGCCAATATTCCAGCTATATGTCGGTGGTCCATAAATAATCGAGTCTGGACCAGACAATGTAGTGATTGACATCATGAACACCAATCCACGCTCTATGATGACATGCATCAACCAGGTCAGCAAGTCTGACCACCGGACCCCATTAGACACCCTTAGTCGCCTTTTACGGCAAGCATGGGTTTCTGAAGACCTATTCTGACCTGGATCTTAATGAAAAAATGCATGAAACTCACTCACTCACTCACTCACTCAAGACATTTCCTGAATGGGTGGGTAACAGAAAATGAAAAACTATAATATTTTCTACAAGTAAATAACAATATTAAATTCTCTTGAAAGGACTTTACAAGGTATAGTATCTTTGGCAAAATTCATTGAGTGTACAGACAAATAATGCACTAGGTCTACGGGGCAGGTAAACTACAGTTAGTTTGTTATTTCACAGGGCAGGTAAACTACCGTTAGTTTGTTATTTCACAGGGCAGGACACAACGAACATGGTGTGTCAGCAATTCTTCACAAGATCTGTGATTACAAAACAACATGTTTTCTGTCGGCCTTCCGTCTGTTGTATTGTGTACAGGTCGTCTAGTGTCATTGCGTGCACCCCAAGAGAGACTAATCCAACACAAAGAGAGGGGAGGGGAGGGAATGCTTATGTCTAATAGCTGTTTACAGGTAATTCACACCATCTTTTCACAGATCACAGATACTCTTTCCACCCGTTTCACAATCACGGATCATGTAAATTAGTTCATATTTCATAGAGATAAGAAACCATCCATTCTTCCTTATTAATCTGATAGTGACTCAAACCTTGTCATCGTCAGGTTTATGTTTTTGCATGTATAAACTGGGACTGCACATCATATTGTGACATGTAAACTTGGTAGCAACTTGTCAGACTATCTCGGGCGTTTCTTGATAGTTTTTGGCTGCTCCAAATTTAATACATCGTTTTCCCAGTTTCGATATGAAAATGATGAGGAATAATAACAATTCACTGAAAAAAGGCTCTTCACAGACATCCTTTAATTATTGGAAAATTCAGAAAACGGGACTTTGGAGAATAACATCGCAGTTCATTCCTAACGTGAAATATCGAATCACGGCAAATAAAAACAGCCAATAATAGGTATTCCCTACCCACATAAATGTGCGTGCGTGCGTGCAAGCTACTAAATAGACGACCAAGAGAATCCCCACTTCGTTTCCCCCTTCAGGCTACAACAAATAGATCTATATTTTTGGCTTGACAAATTCTTTATCAATGTTATTTCCAATGGCCATCTTTTCAGATCTTACCTATCTACTGAATGTCAAATATCGCCTTATTTACCAGTGAGTGCATTGATGTGTGTAAACGACTCAACCTAACAATAAATCAACAAAGTGAATTATTTGTTAATATTTGGGAATAAATAGACTGTGGAAGAATTAATTGCCCTTCACTGAAATTACTCGGCACTGGCAGATCAGTACGTGTAGTGTTTTTGAATTTCATTTCACACTCTGTTCATTGATTGTTCTTGAAATAAAAGACAACAATTTAAGGCAAACGACAATGTACTTTGTTGCCCATATCAATATAAAATAGGAAAGCGAATTGAAAAAAGAATTTCCCACATCATGTTGTATCACAGCCTATCAGTGTGGCTGTAAATAATTGTTTTATATTTACCTGGTCTATTTATTAAATCTCTTCATTTTTCACACATTCCCATTTGAACATACAAGAATATACTTGCAGCTCAGCTTTCACACCAAACATTTGATTTTTTAATTTCAGTGATGTAATTAATCCTCAGTATCAGTTTACCAACTCCAAATCTTTCCAGAGAGGAAGCTTCATTTTTCTCTTTCAAAAATATGCATCCTTCATAGTTCTTATCCTTAAAAAAATACAGTTGTTTTGTTTTTTTAATGAAAAATGCCATACTCCTTTAGTTTTCAGGGATTACTTTTTAGTTTAAGGTTTTGTTTAATTACCTTCCTATGTTCCGGTTAGTTTATATAAATACATTTTACATATTAGGGCTACGACTTTTATTACTTTCCTATATTACCAAACAAGGTGCACGCCGACTAGCAACATGTAGAGTCCCTCTTGTCCAATATCCCGCAGTGAGATGTTTTCAAAACATCCGCAGCACACTGTCACCATTTGATTTCTATTTTGTGTAAATAAAAAAAAATCAGCCACCATCTGCTTGAAAAGACATAACTCAGCCTCCATAAAAAGTCTCATCAACACAGAGTATTTAGTGAGCAAAGCCATAATCTTTCATAGAGAGACATCATCATAAGAGACAATATATGTCTGTAACCCTAATTGATTAATAATCATTTCAAATCTTCCCCTGGTCAGACGCTCTATCTATCCACTAGACCACGGCGGTGGTAAGGACTATGGAGATAGACATGTATTTGGTATGACGTCCGGGGATCGAACCCCGACCTTCCGCTCTGAGGTCAGACGCTCCATCCATTCAACTAGACCACGGCGGCGGTAAGGACTATGGAGATAGACGTGTTTGGTATGAGGTGACCGGCCGGGGATCGAACCCCGACCTTCTGCTCTGAGGTCAGACGCGCTATCTATTCCACTAGACCACGGCGGCGGTAAGGACTATGGAGATAGAGATTATGTGGTATCAGAGGCCTTATGGCCAACACTACACATTTACATACCAGTACCTGTGCACAATATCACATAACATCTAAGATCCGTGAAGATGCGGGAAAGAATTGGTCTTCATAAGAGGCGACTTACGGGGTCGGTGGTCAGACTAGAGAATTATTTTCAGCAACCCATGCTTGTCGTAAGAGGCGACTAACGGGATCGGGTGGTCAGACTCGCTGACCTAATTGATGCATGTTATCGTATCCTATTTGCCTAGATCCATGCCAGTCACTGGATTGTCTGGTCCAGACTCGATTTTTTACAGACCGCCGCCATAGAGCTGGAATACTGCTTACAACTTATTTGAAGAAGAATAACGATTATCTACCTCCCTAAAAAATGTTGAAGGTTACAATATTATTGAGTGAGTGAGTGAGTGAGTGAGTGAGTGAGTGAGTGAGTGAGTATGGTTACGCCGTTTTTAGCAATATTCCAGCAATATCACGGCGGGGGACACCAGAAATGGGCTTCACACATTGTACCCATGTCGGGAATCGAACCCGGGTCTTCGGCGTGTTACTATATTAACTCGCGACAGATCATCTGTATTTCTTCATAGTTCGTAGGTTATTAACTAAACGTCAGTTTATAGAAAACTATAATATACTGATGGAAATAAACAAGGGAACGGTATTCAGGGAAGCACCTGTTTGATGTGTCATCCTGTTTACTTCATCCTCAGTTGCGGTGGATGCGATGCTGATGGGCATTGTCTTATGGTTGATCAGCTGAGTGAGTGAGTGAGTGAGTGAGTGAGTGAGTGAGTGAGTGAGTGAGTGAGTGAGTGAGTGAGTGAGTGAGTGAGTGAGTGAGTGAGTGAGTGAGTGAGTGAGTGAGTGAGTGAGTGAGTGAGTGAGTGAGTGAGTGAGTGAGTGAGTGAGTGAGTGAGTGAGTGAGTGAGTGAGTGAGTGAGTGAGTGAGTGAGTGAGTGAGTGAGTGAGTGAGTGAGTGAGTGAGTGAGTGAGTGAGTGAGTGAGTGAGTGAGTGAGTGAGTGAGTGAGTGAGTGAGTGAGTGAGTGAGTGAGTGAGTGAGTGAGTGAGTGAGTGAGTGAGTGAGTGAGTGAGTGAGTGAGTGAGTGAGTGAGTGAGTGAGTGAGTGAGTGAGTGAGTGAGTGAGTGAGTGAGTGAGTGAGTGAGTGAGTGAGTGAGTGAGTGAGTGAGTGAGTGAGTGAGTGAGTGAGTGAGTGAGTGAGTGAGTGAGTGAGTGAGTCTTTACCCGGCTTTTATCAATATTCCAGCAGCATCACGGTGGGGGACACCAGAAATGGGCTTCACACATTATATCCATGTGGGAATTGAACCCCACCTCGTCTGTAATACAGACCCTGAAACAAATATATCCAACAAAGCCCATGCACGTCTATAATATTGGGCAAGTCTAGAGTACTGCAGTATCAGTATCTGAAAATGAAGAAAGCCATGGCTCCTTTTGATTCTAATTTATAACTACAATTTAACAACTATTTTTATTGTAAAATATGTCCATTTCAGACTAGAGGCGAGTCTACCCACCACCCTAACGTTATCAGTATCTGCTTCTACTCATATGATAGGGATGGTATGTTTTGTTTGCACGCTGTGCTGTCGAGCCATGTTTGTTTGTTGTTTAACGCCGCTCACAGCAATATTAGAGCTATATGAGGGCCGTCTGTAAATAATCTGGACCAGACAATCCAGAGAATGACATCATGAGCATTACGCAATTGTATCTATAGTAATAATCTCACTCCAGTTGTGAGCATGTATATTCATGGTAATGACGCTGTTGAGGATGGTCATGATGTTGCTGATGCTGATGACGTCGATGATAACGTGGATGTGCGTTGATGAATAACTAATGAAGTACCCCAGTGTGTTGTGTTGTAGTTTTGTATGGTGGTGTGAGTGAATGAGCTGGATTTAACAGGCTTTTAACAGCATTCCAGTTATATCAGCTTAATGTGGGAGGAAAGCCCGAAGTGATGCAGGTCTCAGGCATTCACCACTTTGGTTAAACCCAAGGTGTTATAAAGCTAGAAACATAATTGGGGCGAACCGGGATTCAAACCCACAACCATAGGTTTCTGCCGTGCCAAAGGGACGCAACTCTGCACATCAAATCGCGGCGCCTTAGACAACTGGGTTACCTGTGCCCCCTTTTAATCATGAAATCTCTTTGGAACAGTTTTGAACTTCTGAAGAATGTTTTACTGCAAATAATAGTCTAAATCATACTTGCTGGCTGTGAGTTTGTTTATACACACAGAGTAACAAAAACAAAGTCATTTGAAAAATTGGCACTTTATTGCTCAATCATCATGGCAACACATTCAATAATTCAGACAATACACCACCCTCTCTATTAACATGCATCCATGAGCCTCTCGTTCTTCCACATCCTCACTAACTCACACACGCACATGCAAAGTTCAGAATATCAACAGCAAACTGCAAACTGTCACATTCGGACAAAATAATCTAAAATAGATGACATCCATACAAATATAGAATTGTGGTCAGTTTTATAACATTGTCAAACACAGGCATGGCTGACCAAACCACATCTGATCTCTGGGTTGGGTCAAAGTACTTGTTTACTTGCTGTAGTTAGTTAATGTAACTTCTTTCATTTGTTTGTCCCACTTTCTCAATTCTTTCATGAAGTACCAACACCTCGATGCAGCTCTTCCCCAGCAAAATCCTTGACTGGAACTGAGAGAGATGGTCTAATGCTGTTTGGAACTGTATCTCGGTCACACCTCAGTTGTCAACTTAATGTAAGACATGTCGTACTTTGAATCAACACACGAGCGAGCACTGGCAAGATACTGAAAACAAAAGCTCCTAATCATGGTGCTTCCTCTTCTTTAGAAAAATAGTTCAAAATTTAAACCAGAAATCAAACAATAGTTATCTTTTAAGTAATGCGTTAAGATCTTAAATAGGCAACTTAATCCAAATATATAACAGATTACGAACTTGAAGACAAGACATCTGAATGTATAAACAAAGCTTACTATTTTGATAACATGAAGTAATTCTCTATTTTATGATCAATTCCAAAGGCAGGAAGTATTCTATAATCCAAGGCATTGGTACTCCATCAGAAAGACTGGTTCAACACAAACATCATAAATAGGAGACAACCCATACTCACTGTCTAGGACACGTGTCTGACTGATCAAAACAGACAAAGCTCAGCATGGCGCAAGGGAGATAACTGGCAAAACAGGGGAAGTAACTGGAGCCGATTTTGCATAATGCTGCTACTAACGTTGGATTGTTCATGTTGGGCATCAAAACCTTTTTTACACAGATAACAAAAGTTACCTAACTTTGAGAGAATGAAAATGATATAGATTACAGCTGTAATTCAAAATTACTGCAGGCTTTTCAGACCTACATTTAATGAGCAACACCATCTTAAGACATTAATGAAAAGAAACAGATGTACATAGGAAAGAAATAGGTGATTAGCAATTTTGAAATTCAGAAAAATTGACTCACAAAGTAATGATAAAGGATGTAAATGAACATCTTGGAGCATTCAACCTGAAAGTATGTATCAACATGTTCACACTTATGTAATCTGACATTTATACTTGACATGGTATTGGTGAACCGAAACGTGCTCAAGTCTGTTTCATACAATAGACATTTCTGCAGTAGAGTACAAGTAGTATTTTCAATGAATTAGGATTACAATGAATCAACAAAATAACAGTTCCATCACAGCAGGAAGTCGCTTGTCAAGCCATGAGACTGACATAAACAGGCAATCAAACTAGGAAGTATCCATACTTGGACATTGTGGCAGCCTGATACAAGTTGCTCTTAGCAACAAGCTGGGGGACCTTGTGGCAGCCCGATACAAGTTGCTCCTAGCAACAAGCTGGGGGACCTTGTGGCAGCCTGATACAAGTTGCTCCTAGCAACAAGCTGGGGGACCTTGTGGCAGCCTGATACAAGTTGCTCCCAGCAACAAGCTGGGGGGTCCTCCTGAGTGGGGACAGTTCCTACATAGGTAAGAGTGCATGTCTATCGTTTTGCTTAAAGCTTCTCTCCATCTGCATCTCAACTGCAGACTGAGTGAGTGAGTGAGTGAGTTAAAGTTTAACGTCACATCGGCAATATTTCAGCCATATCGTGACGAAACAAAACTGCACACTGAAAACATGACTCTAAATATGCAGAACTTGTTACCGGAATCCTGATTGTTCAAAGGACATAGATTCAGTTACGCCTGTCGTATCATAGTCAAAAGCTGTTATCTTACCCATATTATGCACTTCTAAGCAGTACAGCTAAAACCAATTTAATTTAGACTTCAGTGAAACAGACCTAGCTTTTAGCAAATATAAATCACAATGTGTGACAGAAGGCATCAACACAGCAAGGGTTAAAAAATATTTACGCTCTGCAATTGACCCATGAGAACAATCAGAGATAAGCCAAAATAGTGTCACATCGATTCAGTATTTTTTCTGATATTAATCCTTGTTCAACATGCTTACAGTATCATGTATTACAGATCATAGATGCTAGTATTCAGGAATACTGGTTAGGTGTTCTTTATCTTCCTAGAGCCAACTATATCAAAAGTATCCATCGTAATGTGACGGCCACTGTTCAGACATTCCAAAATAGAAAAGTAACTCGACTAGTTACATATACACCTGAAAAAAAGTTAAGCACTGCTTACTATACTCCTACTAAAAAAGAGTTAAAGAAAATCCAATGTTTTCAAATGATTATAGCTCATGTCATAGCCATGACACATTAACCATAGTCATATAAAACAATCAGGTGTTCCTTAACTTCTTTTGAGTACTATATATATTTCAACATGAAACAGCCATGTCTGTATATCAGACCCTGTAATAAATTTCCAAAGTTAAATCCTCATATTAGCAAAAGTAAAACTGATTATGTTATGCACTTTGTAGCTATTCCATGGCAACAGATGCACTTAAGTTCGGAATATAGGACAAGAAAGACTGGCTGGTGATTAACTTTTTTCAAGGTGTATATTTTAAAAATAAATATTGCAATGTTACATAAGACCGGAAGCACATTTTTTAACCCTTGCTGTATCAATGGCTGATAACATGACATGTATACTGTGTATGTCATTGAACTCCAACAATACAATCCTGACATCATTCAGGCAAGAGATGCTGTACATTATGCATAGTTTAATTGGAAACATCTTTGTTGGAGATAGGAGTGTTGTGACAGCAGAGATTCTGCTCCTAGCTACTGGGTGAGGTGGAATCTTCATGGAAGGTGTGTTGACACACACAGCAGCCCAGGAACTGGCTCAAGGTACTAACAAGCTGGTAGAATGACACCATTAAGAATTAATCAATAACATAATATTTAAGATATGACGGAGTCTTCTAATAAACATTTTGAAAATGTAATTTCCGCTCAAAGTGAATTAATATATGAGCTGCTACAATGATGTACATTTGGCAACATCCTGAGTGGACTACTTTATCTGTTGAATGCTGATTCTATTAAGATGTTTGTGAGATGAGATATTGGCCAAAAGACAGTAAGAATCCATTTAAATAGATACCCTGTAGGCAGTTCTATGTAAATGGACACACACTGCCTTCAATAAATCCATTACCGACATTATCATCCATGAAAGTCTGAACTCTCGATATTCTTGACATCACAAACCAAACAACACATTCCGAGTCTGTTTGTTTTGCTGTATATTTTGTCTGAGTCAAATGTGTCGTGTCTGGAGACACAGCAGAATTCTTGTCTTCATATTTCAGCGACTGCGTTAAGCTATTACCGATGGGATTTCATTCACGTAACACCCAAATTCATTCAAGTATAACATCGTTACATAAATATCTAGATCGTTAAATTCGGTGCAATATGTTGGATTGAATTAAGTCAGGTTATTGCTATGATAGCAGCTTGATGGAACAGAGAATACTCTCTCTGAATAGCAAAGCCTAAAGTTTAAATTGTGTTTTACTGGTAACTACATAATAATTAAAAAACAACAAATCTCTCTTCGGTCAACTTATGTGAAGCAGAGAACCTGTATAAAAGCCATGTATCCGGTTTGGATAATTATGCGATAACAATAAAAGTATGTTAAGAAATGCAGAAACTATTCAGGTTATCCTGGGCTTCATAAAGACTTAACATTGTGATCCCTGACAAATTCAGTTAAAATTCATCGTGCTTAAGTACTTGTTTTCTCTGGAACAATATTTTCACTAAAGAAACCAACACGCAATTAAAATAACAAAGGCACAAGCACCTTCTCAATATTAGATTGAAGAAAGAATGTATTGACATGGGACACTGGCCGCCTCCAGGACACATGGCAAAGAGAGGCCTCGAGTTGCATCATCGCTGTCATGTTGCATCTCACCAAGCAGCAGAAGCGGTCCATGACGCACCAACGTCGTTTTCAACTATCGACTTTCTTCAGATTTCTTTCCTCTTTGTTACTTTCCCTGTTGTGCAGCACCCTCTGACGATGGAAAATAGTATTTAGTATCACAGATATTTGCTTCAGGTTTGGACTATGTGTTGGCTGGGACGACCCGATCACAGCGTTGGAGGAATCCTGACCGGGTCCATCCTTCACCAAGCATATTCCATCACCAACAGGCAGATAGTCAGTGGTGTCCACCCGATCTACTTTCAATGGGGTACAGAAGTCTGTTGCTGAACAGTCACATCAGCCAATCAGTTGTTGAGGCACCAGCATTGGAGTTGGCGTCATCTGAATCAATCCACTATATACTAGCACACCAGTTAGTCACCATTCTCGTTCAATATCTGTGCCAAGACTGAAATCTGGAGGACAATTTTGCAAGTAACAAGCAATGAGGATATCATCTCAAATCTTGACTGGGCTGTGTCCAGCTTTGCAAACAGCAGGTCCAACATTGCAACAATCTCGGCAACAGAAAGTAAAGGAAAGACCACATTTCATAGCACCAATGTTCAGTCCACATTCTCGATCTCGCCAGCGTTGACCCGTGTGGGGTCAGCATGGACCGTGAAGCCAAGGATGCTCTTGTCAATCTTCTGCATCTTGCCCTTCTTCTTCTTGTTCTTGTTGCGGGCTGCCGACTCAGCATCATTGTTGTTGCTGGACCGGACCTCCTTCGGGTTGACTGCAGGTGCTGGGCCCCAAATACTGTCCTGTGAATAACAGGTATAATACTGTCCTGTAAATAACAGGTATAATACTGTCCTGTAAATAACAGGTATAATACTGTCCTGTAAATAACAGGTATAATACTGTCCTGTAATAAAATGCTCTTCTCTTTATAAATTCAAAGGCCTTTTAGCAGACATTGAAGGCAATCATGTAAACCTAAGCATAAAAGCTCTTCATCCTTACTGGTCATATTGTCATCCCTGTTGTCAGGGTACCCACCCCCTCCCAGTGTCAGGGTACCCACCCCCTCCTGGTGTCAGATACACCCCTGGTGTCAGGGTACCCACCCCCTCCTGGTGTCAGATACATCCCTGGTGTCAGTGCTACAAGCCAGGTACCCACCCCCTCCTAGTGTCAGGGTACCCACCCCCTCCTGGTGTCAGATACATCCCTGGTGTCAGGCTACCCACCCCCTCCTGGTGTCAGGGTACCCACCCCCTCCTAGTGTCAGGGTACCCACCCCTCCTGGTGTCAGATACATCCCTGGTGTCAGGCTACCCAGCCCCTCCTGGTGTCAGGGTACCCACCCCCTCCTAGTGTCAGGGTACCCACCCCCTCCTAGTGTCAGGGTACCCACCCCTCCTGGTGTCAGATACATCCCTGGTGTCAGATACATCCCTGGTGTCAGGGTACCCACCCTCCTGGTTTCATATTGTCATCCCTGGTGTCAGAGCTACAAGCCAGGTACCCCCCTCCCCCCTCCTGGTGTCAGTGCTACAAGCCAGGTCCAACCCCTCCTGGTGTCAGTGCTACAAGCCAGGTACCCCCCTCCCCTTCCTTGTGTCAGTGCTACAAGCCAGGTACCCCCCTCCCCTTCCTTGTGTCAGTGCTACAAGTCAGGTACCCCCCCTCCCCTTCCTTGTGTCAGAGCTACAAGCCAGGTACCCCCCCTCCTGGTGTCAGAGCTACAAGCCAGGTACCCCCCCTCCTGGTGTCAGAGCTACAAGCCAGGTACCCCTCCTCCCTGGTGTCAGTGCTACAAACCAGGTACCCCCCTTCCTGGTGTCAGTGCTACAAACCAGGTACCCCCCTCCCCACCCCTTCCTGGTGTCAGTGCTACAAGCCAGGCCCCCCCCCTTCCTGGTGTCAGTGCTACAAGCCAGGTAACCCCCCTCCCCACCCCTTCCTGGTGTCAGTGCTACAAGCCAGGTCCCCCCCCCCTTCCTGGTGTCAGTGCTACAAGCCCGGTACCACCCCTTCCTGGTGTCAGTGCTACAAGCCAGGTACCCCCCTTCCTGGTGTCAGTGCTACAAGCCAGGTACCCCCCTCCCCACCCCTTCCTGGTGTCAGTGCTACAAGCCAGGTCCCCCCCCCTTCCTGGTGTCAGTGCTACAAGCCAGGTCCCCCCCCCTTCCTGGTGTCAGTGCTACAAGCCAGGTACCCCCCTTCCTGGTGTCAGAGCTACAAGCCAGGTACCCACCCCCTCCTAGTGTCAGATACATCCCTGTTATCAGGGTACCCACCCCCTCCTGTTGTAAGATACATCCCTGTTATCAGGGTACCCACCCCCTCCTGTTGTAAGATACATCCCTGTTATCAGGGTACCCACCCCCTCCTAGTGTAAGATACATCCCTGTTATCAGGGTACCCACCCCCTCCTGTTGTAAGATACATCCCTGTTATCAGGGTACCCACCCCCTCCTGTTGTAAGATACATCCCTGTTATCAGGGTACCCACCCCCTCCTGTTGTAAGATACATCCCTGTTATCAGGGTACCCACCCCCTCCTGGTGTCAGATACATCCCTGTTATCAGGGTACCCACCCCCTCCTGGTGTCAGTGCTACAAGTCAGGTACTCCCCCTCCCCACCCCTCCTGGTGTCAGTGCTACAAGTCAGGTACCCACCTCCTCCTGTTGTCTCTCTAGTCTGGCCTTCTGCTTATACTGGCTCCGTTTCTCCAGGAACTGCCGACCAAACTCCTTTGCAGCACCAGACTCACCAAGGTACGACCTCACATAATCATGGACCTGTGGCACAAAATATCTAACAGTATATACAAGTGAGTCATTAAGAGACTTAGATCTGTTATAACAGGAGTTGTCTGCCAAATTGAGTCTCATACCAAATCAGACCTTCATTAATGAAACAATAATAGACACACATTGTGAGTGTTTAATGCTGCAATCAGCAATATTTCAGCTATAGACGGGTCTGTAAATAATCAAGTCTGAACCACAGTCCAGTGTTTGACATCATGAGCATCAATCCACACAATTGGGATACAATGACATGCATCAACCAAGTCAGCGGGCCTGACCACCCAATCCTAATTGTCGCTTCTTACGACAAGCATGGCTGCCTTTTACTGCAAGCATGGACATTGTGAGTGAGTTGGGTTCAACATCCCCAGGAATACTATTTCAGTCACATGGCATACTTAAACTAATGAATGTCCTTATGTTGTTTAACACACTCAATATACCAGCTCTATCATGGCGGCCTCAAATAATCGAGTCATCGCATCACAATACAGAGATTTGTAGGACCTGGTGGATCCAATCAGCTGATCCCACCATGTACCAGTAACCATGGTAACGGATACAAAGTAGGACTTGTATCAATGTTTATGATAATAGGGAAGAGAATGTATGGATGTCAACTTTTTATCATGAGGAACACAACATTTAGGAGTACATGCTTACTCCTTCATCAGGTGAATGATACTGCATCGTCTCCATCTTGATGTTGTATCAAGTCTTTGAAAGGCATTTAGAAGTGATACACATAAGGAAGAGAACTTATGGATGTCAACTTCTTTAATATTTATTTATGATAACGGACCACAATTCCTACCTCATATGGAGAATCAACCTCTTGCAGGAAGGCAATGAATGTTGGAACTGAAAAATAGAATTGTTGAATAAACATCTGTAACAACATGAACAAAGTGATATTCCAAAACACATCCTTCATTGTAAGCAACAGATCCTACAAGTTGCTCGTTACAAGAACTTCGGAGGGGATCCCAGTCTGGTTTTGTTCATACTTCTCACAATTCAAAACCCGAAATTGAAACTAAGAGAGTGAACATGATTCCAGCCATAATTGAAAGAGGAAGGGAAAGAACAATGAGTGAGTGAGTGAGTTAATATTTAACGCCCCCTCGGCAATATTTCAGCCATATTGTAAAGAGAAGTTATACGTTAAGAATACATATATTTAGATTAAATCGATGTACAGTAAAATAACTGGACTATCACAGATTAATATTTAAAACTAGCATACAACCAAATACAGATATCACTGTATGTAACAATACACCAGCTGAAGGTGGATCACCATGCTAGGGTCCATGGGGACTTACAGTACCTTTGCTACCTGCATGGACCCCAGCCGGATTTACACCATCCCTTCAGGCTATTGATCTCCAACAACTGAAGGTAGATCACCATGCTAGGGTCCATGGGGACTTACAGTACCTTTGCTACCTGCATGGACCCCAGCCGGATTTACACCATCCTTCAGATATCACTCTATGTAACAATACACCAGCTGAAGGTGGATCCCCATGCTAGGGTCCATGGGGACTTACAGTACCTTTGCTACCTGCATGGACCCCAGCCGGATTTACACCATCCTTCAGATATCACTCTATGTAACGATACACCAGCTGAAGGTGGATCCCCTTGCTAGGGTCCATGGGGACTTACAGTACCTTTGCTACCTGCGTGGACCCCAGCTGGATTTACACCATCCCTTCAGATTTCACTACATGTAACGATACACCAGCTGAAGGTGGATCACCATGCTAGGGTCCATGGGGACTTACAGTACCTTTGCTACCTGCATGGACCCCAGCCGGATTTACACCATCCTTCAGATATCACTCTATGTAACGATACACCAGCTGAAGGTGGATCCCCTTGCTAGGGTCCATGGGGACTTACAGTACCTTTGCTACCTGCGTGGACCCCAGCCGGATTTACACCATCCCTTCAGATTTCACTACATGTAACGATACACCAGCTGAAGGTGGATCCCCTTGCTAGGGTCCATGGGGACTTACAGTACCTTTGCTACCTGCATGGACCCCAGCCGGATTTACACCATCCCTTCAGGCGTTGGCAATTAGTGTCAAAGTTAGCCACAGTTAAATTAACACATATTCTACGATAAAAATGTAACAGAGAAAAATGACTTTTAATGACAAGATACAGGCAGTAGACATTTATAATCTCAATGAAAGATACCAGCATAGATGATGACTGAGGCTAACCTGGTATATGAACCCTTTATAACATTATCCTGGGCAGACTAAGGTACAGAACTCTACAGTGAATTGCCTTGCTTTATACCACTGTGAGTGAGTGAGTGAGTGAGTGGTTTAAAGCCCCTTTTAGCAATATTCCAGCAATATCACAGGGGGATATACCAGAATTGGGCTTCACATATAGTCCCCATGTGGGGAGATAGAACCCGGTTATTCAGTGTGAAGAGCGATCGCTTTAACCAGTGGGCTACCCCACCACCCCATCTTTAAGAGTGAGGTGTATTTTTTATTGCTTTCAGTTTCACCAGCAGTTCACTTAAATAATGTCATGTCAACTGAAAGCGTGAGGAAAAGAGCAAAAGACACAGAAAGTAGATGTGTCCCGCTTCGGTAAAAGCCATGAGCAGGGATCAGATTCAAGGTGGACCTGGAATATGAGCCTGCAATTAGCGGATCCTGGCATGACAAAGGGACGTAACTCTCATGTCACTCATTCCCCAGATTAACATAGGCAAGATTTCACATGACCTACCATCCACTGATGATGCGAGTCCTGCGAGTGCCTTCTCACACCACTGAGTGAAATCGTCAACAGGCCTTGCTAACTGAAACATCTTGTGCACAGCATCCTGCAACACAAATTATTTCTCATATCAAACAACTATAACAATAACCATAAGAAAACCATATCAGGATAAGAAGAAAATGCACAAAATATTCAAACTTCTGTGATATCAAATGTATAGATGTACAAAAACATTTGAAATTTCTTGCACTTCCGCTAAGTACATCAGAAACTAATGTACACTTACTTCGTGGAGAGGGTCAAACTGCTTTCTAATACAGACGCCTTGAGTGAGTGGGTATGGTTTTACGCCACTTTTAGCAGTATTCCAGCAATATCATGGCGGGGGACACCAGAAATGGGCTTCACACATTGTACCCATGTCGGGAATCGAACCAGGGTCTTCAGCATGATGAGGGAACACTTTAACCACAAGGCTACCCCACTAGAGAGGCCTGTAGGGTGATTGAGCTATGCTTAAAGTCACTTAGAACACCATGAACACAATGGGTCCTAATATGGATTCCAGCAGACAATCAGCACAACAGATCTCTTGAGTGAGTGAGTGAGTGGGTATGTTTTTACGCCACTTTTAGCAATATTCCAGCAATATCAGGGCTGGAGACACCAGAAATGGGCTTCACACATTGTACCCATGTCAGGAATCGAACCCAGGTCTTCGGCGTGACAAACGAACGCTTTAACCACTAGGCTACCCAACTGCCCCCATATCTCTTGAAGGGAAACTAGACTTTGTGGATCATTATAGACAGGAGAAGATTACAGTGAAGATGTAAATATAAAGTGCTAGCCTTCATACACGTTGTGAATGCTCAAAGTGCTAGTGTTAGCACATATAATACTCAGATTAGCTGAGATTTGAACATGTCCAAAGTTTAATGCTCAGAGGTAGTCGGTTTCACAATTCTGGGGAGGCAACACTGAAAGATTTTTCATATTTTGTGAGTTTGTAGTGTTTAATTGATAAGGGTGTTGATTTTCTGAGCCCCGAGACCCAGGGGCTTGTCCTCAGCCCGGAACTTGATGATCAATGGTGGTGTTAGGCCATGCGGTCTCTTATACTTGAGGCGGAGTACTTTGAACACTGTCTGGCCTAAACCTTCAGCCAGGAACTTGATGATCAATGGTGGTGTTAGGTCATGCAGTCTCTTACATGTGAGGCGGAGTACTTTGAACACTGTCTGGCCTAAACCTTTTAGCCAGAGAAGTGACATCACGACTGGTGTAGTGTGGGAATATTTTGCTTACCTCCTCTTTCTTTGGTTTTGTCTGTCTGTTGCGGTTTGCAGTAGCCGCGGCAGCTGCTGCTGCTGCCGCTGCAGCTGCAGATGCATTAGTCGTTGCATTATTGTTTTGTTGGTTTCGTTTCTTGCCCCCTAACGCAGGAAACTCACCACTGAAAAAGTGTGGACTTGAGTGAGACACATGGAAAATGAATACACATACCTCCACACACTAAACAGCTGAAGAGACCTATCGTCAAGACTGTGCAGGGTTTATGGTTTTGTTATGTTCAAAGAATGAAACAAAAATGTAGAAATAGAGGATTGTTTTGTTGGTCAGATTCACTTCAAAATTATTGAATACACTCGCTCACATCACATGAAGTGATCTACACCTCTAGATCAACATACAGGTCCCCAATCCACTGTTGTGAGTCTTTGGTAAATCCTATAGACGTACGATAGTCGATAGTCGTAGCACTACAAACATTTGACTTGGGGCTCAGGTCATTAAGTCAGGAAGGAGTATGGTCTTACGCCGCTTTATGCAATATTCCAGCAATATTACATCGGGGGACACCAGAAATGGGCTTCACACATTGTACCCATGTGGGGAATCGAACCGGGGCCTTCAGCGTGGCGAGCGAACGCTTTAACCACTAGGCTACCCCACTGCCTCTAGGTCATTAAGTAAACATACATTTGTCTTGTGCTTCTATCATTCTGTAAGCACGATCAGGAGCTGCTATTTCTCACCAACCTTTCTTTCTCTTTGGTTGCTGCCCTTCCTGAAGATATCACAGCCTCATCCCAGAACCCCAGGCCCCCCCCTGACTTGTCCGTCTTCCACACAGCGTTCCCCCCCCACCCCGTGGACTGAGCACCATTGCTGGCCACGTTGCTCCACATGCTAGGTGTAGCCATGGTGGCAGCTGTATTCTGGGGAGAGAGGAAGCAGGTTACAGTATCATCTGACAAACAAACTCGTTTAATTTCTGTAACTTTTCTTCAGTCCTGAGAGTATTATTCACGGCTCCAGCATTCTTTTGGACATTTTCTTTTCGACATGTTATCATTCACTTTGGGTTCTGATAGTTATCTTTGGGTTTGCAAAATATTTAAACTCCCTTGCAGGGATAGAATTATACTTGGAAAGTCTACTAGCCCAAATAGTGACAATATGGAGGAACATCCCCAAAATGTTCGAAATTCTACCAGCCCTAAGGATACCTTTAGCATTAATGAAACTGACCTTGGCTAGTGGGCTAGAGCTAATGTCTATCCCTGCCTCGGGGCCCTTTGGGTAATTTAATATTGATGAGTGAACCTTCAGCAACCCATGCTTACCGTAAAAGGCGACGATGCTTGTCGTAAGAGGCGACTAACGGGATCAGCTGGTCAGGTTAGTTGATGCATGTCATCGTTTGTTTGTTTGTTGTTTAACGCTGCACTCAGCAATATTCCAGTTATATAATGGTGGTCTGTTAATAATCGAGTCTGGACCAGACAATCCATTTTTTTATATCATGAGCATCAATCTACGCAATTACCATACGATCAACCAAGTCAGCGAGCCTTATCACCCGATCCCGTTTGTCGCCCCTATGGCAAGCAAGGGTCGCTGAAGACCTATTCAGGTGCACGTAATCGTATCCCAATTGCTTGGATCTATGTTCATGATGTCAATCACTGCATTGTCTGGTCCAGACTCGATTATAGCATGGGTTGCTGAAGACCTATTCTACCCCGTATCTTCACAGGTGCATGTCATCATATCCCAATTGCTTGGATCTATGGTCATGATGCTAATCACTGGATTGTCTGGTCCAGACTCAATTATTTACAGACCACCGTCATATGGCTGGAATATTGTTGAGTGAGACTTTAAACAACAAACAAACAACAAGATATGACAGGACACACAGCCATGTCACACATCCGATTGTCATCTAAGAAGTCTCTTAGGACACACAGCCATGTCACACATCCGATTGTCATCTAAGTAGTCTCTTAGGACACACAGCCATGTCACACATCCGATTGTCATCTAAGTCGTCTCTTAGGACAAACAGAGTATTGGTGACCTATTCAAACCTGGATCTTCACGGGTGCATGTCATTGTACCCCAATTGCGTAGATCTATGTTAATGATGTCAATCACTGGATTGTCTGGTCGTCTCTTAGGACAAACATAGTACTGGTGACCTACTCAGACCTGTCTCTCTAGGAGGTACAGTACCATGTGGATTGTGATGGTGAGTACTGGTGACCTACTCAGACCCGTCTCTCTAGGAGGTACAGTACCATGTGGATTGTGATGGTGACTACTGGTGACCTATTCAGACCTGTCTCTCTAGGAGGTAGTGACCTATTCAGACCTGTCTCTCTAGGAGGTAGTGACCTATTCAGACCTGTCTCTCTAGGAGGTAGTGACCTATTCAGACCTGTCTCTCTGGGAGGTAGTGACCTATTCAGACCTGTCTCTCTAGGAGGTACAGGACCATGTGGATTATGATGGTGCATACCTTGGGCGGAGTGGGCTGAACTTGTTTGGCTTTCTTCTTGTTTTGGTCTAACTGTTTGGCTTTCTGTTCCTCCTGTATGTCCAGCAGTGACTTCAGTGTGTTCGTTGCAGCCTGGTTCACCGTCCTGTAACAGTGTCACATCATACAGTGGAGGATCTCTCCTATACTCAGGCCATGAAACAAGAGACAGACGTAGCAGGAACACTCTGCGGAACCAACGAGAATGGGGATGGTGCTGACAACCCAGGGGTGATCATATGGGAATGTGACTATTAGCCCGATGCCTCAGACAGCTTGGGTAGTATACTCCCCAGGGAGATGAGAATGGGGATGGTGCTGACAACCCAGGGGTGATGAGATGGTGATGAGATGTAATGTGACTAGTAGCCCAATGCCTCAGACAGCTTGGGTAGTATACTCCCCAGGGAGATGAGAATGGGGATGGTGCTGACAACCCAAGGGTGATGAGATGTAATGTTACTATTAGCCTTGAGCCTAGTGCTTGGGTAGTATACTCCCCAGAGAGATGAGAATGAAAATCACATGCACACGAATTCACTGACCAGGGGAATAATATAAGGGTAGCTCTATTTTCCAGGGCATAATCATTTGCAGAAGCCTGAGGTCTTTTATTAACGGCCAGACAAAGGAGCATTATAAATCAACTTATTTTTATTGTTATGATGATCACAGCTTGCTAACTTGTTTTCAATCTGGAACAGTGTGAAGTGTGCAATCCATCTAATAACCTGACACCAGCTACGGCCATTGTGACCACCTGCAAGGTTCCAACTTAAATGGGCAACAATGACAGTGAATGTACCAGGGAACATTTCTTTCACCACAACTGATTGGAGTGATGAGTGAGTGAATTTTGTCTTCAGCTGTTGTTAGCAATATTCCAGCGATATCGCAACAGCCTGTAAATAATCAAGTCTGAGTTAGGAAAACCTGAGCTTGATTGGATGGGCATCAAAACGCTGCTGTTGAGATACCATGTTGTTATTGTCTGAATATGCTGGCTGTGATTTTTAACAGTGTGGTTTTGCACAATTTCTATACCTACTGGGTGTTGAGAAGGGGGCGACTTACATTTGTGCTCCCCATGACTTCTGCTGTTGCTGTTGTTGCTGCTGCTGCTGTTGTTGGATGGCAAACATTTGCTGCCTCTGAATCTCAAGTTGGCGCTGAAACATAAAATAAATGTCATAAAATAAAATTCATAATTTCCTTACAGATATGCCACCTTGACAATCAAATTATATCATGAGGTCTTTGTTTGAAACAATTACTTGAAACATTTCAATCCATCACTATCTCTCACTTCCCCTCAATGTCACTGACTTACACTGTCATCCTTAAATACCGACATCCTATCAATTCCCCACAAATAACACTCCCATTCTATCACCACCACTGGTCAACTCACTTCTCTCTCCTGCATCTGTCTCTCCTCCTCCTGCTGTATCTCTGCCAGGGACTTCCCTTCGTTCGCCTCCCTCTGCTGCAGCTGACTCGCCCACTGCGCAGTGGCAGGAAGCTGACACAAAACAGGCAAATCAAAATCAAGTCAACATTTCAAGCAATCTCCAGTGTTTGTCCATCATATTACACTGCAGTCAGTAGCACTCCTACTATAACATGGCAACTTGTATATTATCAGTCTGGACCAGGCAAACCAGTGACTGAAAGCATGAGCAACGATCTATACCATCAGGGTGTGGTAACATACAATCCATCAAATCAAAAAGCCTGACAACCTTGTTATTTTTAACAACAAGCATGTGGCACAGGGGATCTTAACCCAGGCAGGCTCCACAGAATCCACACAGGGATATTTGTCTGTTTGTTTGTTGTTTAACGCCGCACTCAGCAATATTCCAGCTAGATGAAGGCGGTCTGTAAATAATCAAGTCTGGACCAGACATTCTAGTGATTGATATCATGAGCATCGATCCACGCAACTGGGATTTGGTGACATGCATCAACCAAGACAGTGAGTCTGACTACCCAATCCCGTGAGTCGTCTCTTACAACAAGCATAGTCGCCTCTTACAACAAGCATAGTCGCCTCTTACGACAAGCATAGTCGCCTGTTACAACAAGCATAGTCGCCTCTTACAACAAGCATAGTCGCCTCTTACAACAAGCATAGTCGCCTGTTATGACGAGCATGAAGACCTATTCTACCCCGCATCTTCACGGGTCCACACAGGGATAGCAAGTAAAACTTGCATCCAAACTTCCTGTGAACTAATATGAGCTCCGATCAGTCAGGTGACTCCAAAGTATCTTATATGGCATCAGTTCGTGTACCTGCATTCGAGCCAACTGTTCTTGTTGTTGTTGCTGGAGACGTCTTAGTGCCTCTTGTTGAAGTTTCTGTTGTTCCTGACGCTGCATCTCCTACAACAAAAAGTAACCAAATATAAATCATGCTAAAAGACTTTGTCAATACTCCTGATTTTCTAAACATCCAATCTGAAGCTGTCATAATCCTTGCTTATCAACTTACAGGTTTGAAATTTGACTTAAAGTTTTCCAATGCAAAATTTATATTTTATTTATAAATAATAGCAACTATTGAAACTATTGTCTGAAGTATTGACAAGTGAGTGAGTGAGTGAGTGCTGTTTAATGCTGCAGCCTGTAAATAATGAGTGAAGGCAGGACAGACCACAGACTTATAGTATGAGCTTCAGCCCAGGGCATCGCATAGTGAGTGAGTGAGTGAGTGAGTGAGTGAGTGAGTGAGTGAGTGAGTGAGTGAGATAGTGAGTGAGATAGTGAGTGAGTGAGTGATTGATTGATTGATTGATTGATTGATTGATTGATTATTGATTGATTGATTGATTGATTGATTGAGCGAGCGGGTGGGTGTGGTATTTTCCACCACTTTTAGCAATATTCCAGCATCACCACGGCAGGGGCTTCACACATTGTACGCTTTAACAACTAGGCTAACCGATCAACCAAGCCACTGAGGCCCCACCTGATCCAATTGTCGCCTCTACAACAAGCACTAGAGAGCAGGCAACCAGTGTTAACCCAGACCCCCCAGGAGAGATCTAACACCGAGGTGTACCTGTTGTCTGAGCATCGGGTAAATGACTCCGTCACTATCGACCAAGCCACTGAGGCCCCACCTGATCCAATTGTCGCCTCTACAACAAGCACTAGAGAGCAGGCAACCAGTGTTAACCCAGACCCCCAGGAGAGATCTAACACCGAGGTGTACCTGTTGTCTGAGCATCGGGTAAATGACGCCGTCACTATCGACCAAGCCACTGAGGCCCCACCTGATTCAATTATCGCCTCTACAACAAGCACTAGAGAGCAGGCAACCAGTGTAGAGAGCAGGCAACCAGTGTTAACCCAGACCCCCCAGGAGAGATCTAACACCGAGGTGTACCTGTTGTCTGAGCATCTCTCTCTGTCGCTCCTCCTCCCGCTGCTGCTCCTGCTGCATCTCCTCCTGTTGTCTCTGTACTTCCTGCTGCCGCAACATCTCCTGCACACAAGAGTAGCGTCATATAACACACTTTTACTAACTTTCAACACTTATAAGTTGTTTGTTTTGTTTGTTGTTTAACACCACACAATATTCCAGCTATATGATGGCGGTCTGGAAGAGTCAATCATGTGATCGATATTGGAGCAACTATCAACACCAACGGCATCATGGCAGGCAATCAATCAAGTCACCAAGTCTGACCACCCGATCCATTTGACCTATCCCAACCAGGAATGCTCACAGGGAAACTATTTTTTGTACTTTCAAGAACATTCAAAGTTTTTAAGAAAATGTCTTACTCTAAAAACTCCATCTGCACCTACATCAAAGATCACGACCAGTCTTCCAGTGTCATCTCCAATTATTATTCAACAAATAAACCCTAAGTGCAGATGACTTATTCATCAATGGCAACCCATGCGATGGTCCATTGGAAAGTAAATCAAAATTGGGAACTAACATATTCTTCTAAAAACAGTTAAAGTGAGTGAGTATGGTTTTAAGCCGCTTGTAGAAATAATTCAGCAAGATCACGGCGGGGGACACCAGAAATGGGCTTCACATCTCAAACAGTTAAAAACCTGGTCTATTGTGCTGACATATACCACTCAATGTTTGATAGAGATAATCAGATATGTGCCATCTAAATATACACTTGACATATCATGAGAAAGAGTTTTGTGTATCAGGGAAAGATAAAGTACCCAATAAAAGGTGGGGTAGGTTGTCATGACAATACTGTAAGACGACAGATCAGTGCTAAAGTACCCAATAGAAGGTGGAGTAGGTTGTCATGACAATACTGTAAGACGACAGATCAGTGCATGTTGTTTTACCCTGCAGTTTGACAAAGGCACCCACCTGTTTCTTGTGTTCTTCCTCCAGCTGTTGTCTGTGTGTCTCCTCTTGTCGCCTCCTCTCTTCCTCTATCATTCTCTTCCTTTCTTCTTCCTGCTTCCTACGAGCTTCTTCTTCTCTCTGGACAACAAGCTCTTCTTCTCGGCGACGCTGCTCTTCTCGCATTCTCTCTTCTTCTCGTTTACGTTCTTCCTCCATTTGTCGTCTCATTTCTTCTTCCTCCCGACGACGGATTTCTTCCATACGCTATATGGAAAGTAAGGACTCTTTTCAAACCATTTTTATTAAGACATTTTAATTCAGAATTTCGCACAACAGATCATTTCAATGCTGAGGACATCATTCACACAAAGCAAATACATCTCATCTCATGCCAAATGTTTCCTCAACGTCAAGGACAATATGGACGTGTCTTCACAATCTGCATCAAGTTATCAGATCTCTAGCAAGACCTTTTCTTGGACACTTCAGTAATTATGGATGATGATAGCTATTTTAACACAAGGAACCCATATACTTCTTAGCATCTAATGAATGGTGTTCCAAATATTCTCCTGGGCAGTTCAGCTTTTATGTCATGTCAGATACATGCTGTGCATGCAAGAAACTTCTTCGAGAGGCATTTAGAAGTTGGAGGACTAAATAAGGATAAAATATATGGATGAACAACTTTATTACAATTAGATAACGATGCTTGATAACGGTGTTAGAACCTACACTGAAATGTTGCTCCTAATTGTAATAAAGAAGTTGTTCATCCATATATCTTCTCCTTTCTTTGCGCAAGCAAGGCTGGCCTACCTTCAGCTCGACCTGTCTCTGTCTCTCCAGCTCCTTCTTCTCTCGTATCATCTTCTCCCTCTCTATGGCTATCTCCTCCTGCTGTCTCTTCAGCTCTTCCTGAGTTCTCTGCATCTCTATCTGACGACGTCTTTCTTCTTCCTCCTCCTGCTTCCGGCGAATTTCTTCTGCTTTCTGTTGCTGGTTTAGACAGAATAAGGTTACGACACTGGATGATAAGGGAGAACTGGCAGCGAGCCCTTGTGTTACGACACTGGATGATAAGGGAGAACTGTCAGTAAGCCCTTGTGTTACGACACTGGATGATAAGGGAGAACTGTCAGTGAGCCCTTGTGTTACGACACTGGATGATAAGGGAGAACTGTCAGTGAGCCCTTGTGTTACGACACTGGATGATAAGGGAGAACTGTCAGTGAGCCCTTGTGTTACGACACTGGATGATAAGGGAGAACTGTCAGTGAGCCCTTGTGTTACGACACTGGATGATAAGGGAGAACTGTCAGTGAGCCCTTGTGTTACGACACTGGATGATAAGGGAGAACTGTCAGTGAGCCCTTGTGGACAAATATTCGCCACAACAGTGTCAGTGAGATGGGTTAACACACTTTGAACAGTATTTCTGTTCCATCACAGCATGTCAGTGTAATATGGGAGGAATACAGGTCTTCAATGTCTACCACATTAACCCATGAAACCCAAGTGAGTGAGTATGGTTTTACGCCGCTTTTAGCAATATCCCTGCAATATCATGGCGGGGGACACCACAAAGGGGCTTCACACATTGTACCCATGTCAGAAATCGAACCTGGGTCTTCGGCGTGACGAGCGAACGCTTTAACCACTAGGCTACCCGACCACCCCATGAAACCCAAGAACAAGGGTATGGTACGGAGAAACCAAGGTCATAGTCAGGGTGAATCATGGATACCAGCACACTAAGGGACATAACTCTGCACAGTGACATGCAGAGCCTTAGACAACTGGGTGCCGTTGTACAAAACAATCTTAGCACTTCGTAAGGCTGTGTTAGGTATGGGAGTTACGATCACCTTAGCGCTAAGATAGCTTTGTACAACGGCACCCTGGACTACCCATGCCCACTCGAAATCATTAAACCTGGCTCATGCAAATATGTCTAACTGTCTAGGCTGACATGAGCGGCCGCACATTCTACAGTCAGTCGAAACATGAGAAAAGTCTGTCAGGCAAAAAAGTGTTAAATACCATTACTTCAACCTCAAACCCAAAGAAAACCAAATTGTCTGAACTGACAGTGGATGGTAGTTTAAACAGAGGCTACTGTAACAACATTCTAAGTCATGCATCAAAGGATGAACATTTTCATAAGCAGTAACCATAGCACCACTGCAACAGGTCCGGTTTTGATGGCAATTTTGAGCAAGAACTGACTACTTTTGAAAGTTACAAGTTATAAGATATACACAGCATGACCCTTCACACATATGGTGAATACTCACAGCTTGCAGTTTTTCCAGTTGCTGCTGGTTCACAGTGTTGGGTGACATGTCACTGGGCGGCGTCTCCAGGTCCCACACACTGCTGGGCTGAGACCAAGCAACTGCAACATACACAGAGCTACAGATAAGCAGCGTATTGGCGTAAAATACCAAACAAAATATTCAAAAAACAATTACTTTCAATTAACTTGCGTACAGAAACGCATGCATTAAAGGAAAAACTCAAATTATAAAAACAGCATGTGTAAATACCCAAAGAACCGTTTTCAGCATGCGTACAATGGAGCTAATTTCCGAAACACAATTACGAGCTAATTTACTTTCCGAGTCAAACCTATATTTAGAACCGTTATTTACATTAATAAATCAAAAATGTTTACTCATTTTGGGAAAAACCCAATAGAGTGATGAATAGATGAGTGAAAAAATATAGGTTACCCAATGAAAAATGTAATAACCCAATTAAAATGGAAACCTTGGAGTCCTTGTGACTTTTGCCCTTGATCTTAAATGGCGGGTCAACACCTGGTTTTAGAGGACTTACCTTGTCCTGGAGGGTGCCCCTCCCCTTCTGCAGCAGGGCCAGGCTGGGGCATGTGATATGCTGGGTGGGAGGTAGTAGGGGTGCCCTCTGCTGTCTGCGGCCTGGAACACAGTGGTAGCTTCCACATCATCTCTGCACAGACTCATAGCACTACCCCGTTATTGGGATGGGCAGTCTTTTTGTTTGCTTGTTGTTTAATGACACACTCTATATTCCAGCTTTCTAACGGTCTCCCTAAAGTACCTAAAGTAATCTAGTCTGGGCCAGACAATCAAGTGATTGATATTGTGAGGAGTGATCCATACCCTCGGGGTACAATAACATCCAATCAACCATATCACCGAGCATCAGATCTCATGGGTGGCCTCTTACCACCAGCAGAAGTTGCAGGGGACCTATTTCACCAGGATTCACCCCAGGGTGGATGGTCAGTCAAATCAGCAACAACTTTGTATGCCACCAGTGCCTAACCACACAATATCACCGAGCGCCGGATCTCATGGGTGGCCTCTTACAACCAGCAGAAGTTGCAGGGGACCTATTTCACCAGGATTCACCCCAGGGTGAGTGGTCAGTCAAATCAGCAACAACTTTGTATGCCACCAGTGCCTAACCACACAATATCACCGAGCACCGGATCTCATGGGTGGCCTCTTACAACCAGCAGAAGTTGCAGGGGACCTATTTCACCAGGATTCACCCCAGGGTGAGTGGTCAGTCAAATCAGCAACAACTTTGTATGCCACCAGTGCCTAACCACACAATATTAAATATAAATTGAGAATACAGTAAACTACAATTATAACAAACTCAAAGGGACCACTAATTAGTTTAGTTTGTTATAAGCATATATACAGCATGTATACAACAAATGGCCGGGACTAAAAAGGTAGGGCTGCTTGAATCAATAAAACAAATGAAAAATGTAGATTGCATTTTGTATGTAACAGACATTTCTCTCTGGTACAAAAGGGTTCAAATTCCAATGGCTGATTGGTTAATTTCAAAGTACCACAGACTCAAAGACCTAGGTATACCCCTACTGCCGACATAGCACTTCTGTATGACTCCGGACTTCTGTCTTAAAGCACAAATACTAATTCAACTCACTGTGGGGACAGCCTGTTCTGTTGTTGTTGTTGTTGCTGTTGTTGTTGTTGCTGCTGTAGTTGTTGTAGCTGCTGAAGTTGCTGCATAAACATAGGTTGTGTCTGCATCAACATCTGCATCACCATCTGTTGCTGCTGTGGTGGAGACATGTTCTTGAATGAATCCTGTTCTTGCATCTGTGTCATCATCTGGACCTGCATCTGTCTGCAATAATCAACACTCATCTTGCACTTGAAACACCTCAGGGTCCTTAGACGCAAACTATTGCGTCCTTATACTACCAAAACATATTGAGAATGGACATAAATACTTTATACTGCAAGTCCTGGGTTTAGCTGTTTGAATCCTAAAAGAATTTCACAATTGTTGATGGAATGTTACGTATAACATTCCTATTCTGGTAAGAAATACTCAAATTTCAGAGTGGCAATAGCTTATAGGCTTAAGGCTTCTGAGCATGAGCTATGATATCACATCAGTTTTGTTTGTTTGTTGTTTGAAGCCGCAATCAGCAATATTCCAGCTATATGACGGTGGTTTGTAAACAAACAAATCTGGACCAGACAATCCAGTGATTGACATCATGAGCATCGATCCACGCAACTGGGATACGATGACATGCATCAACCAAGTCAGCGAGCCTGACCATCCGATACGGTCAGTCGTCCCTTACAACAGTAGTCACCTTTTACGGCAAGCATGCTAAGATAATGAAGCCTGGGACAGTGGTTAATGGGCTGAACAAAGAAGCATGCCGTGAGTGCAGGAATACACACTGCCTATTTGATCCACACAGTTCATCAGCCAGGATGGGGTTCTGCCCTAGAACAAAAACTGTTATTCAAATATTCCTGGTACTCTGTGAGATTTCGGTCTCCCCTTACCTCATGAGCATCTGTTGTTGCATGAGCTGTTGAAGGAGAAACTGTTGAGGTATGATTCCAAGCAGGTCCTGAGGGGGTGGAGGAGTGGGCGTTGGCTGCTGTGTGGGTGGGGTCTGTTTTACGGGGGCTTCAGTATTGGCAGCTGTTACTGGGATGTTCTGGCAATGAAACATGGAGTAACAATGAATGTGGAGGAGGAAATTGATTTATTTTTTAACATATTGTAGCTTGAAAGGGGTTGAATATTTTTCTATTCAAGGAAATATAATTTCTTCCTTCTACATTGTTCAAAGACACTAAAAATTACTAAAATACACCATTTGTTTTGTTCATAGTTTATTCACTGTTTTCGGTAAATAATGACTTTGACATGTACGATCACAGCACAAGGAATGTGAAAGTCCATGTTCATAGTTTATTCACTGTTTTTAGTAAATATTGACTTTGACATGTACGATCACAACACAAGGAATGTGAAAGTCCATCTTACCAGTAATGGAGGTGGTGTTGGGCCAGCTAGGAATGGAACTCGGCCCCATCTCTTGATCAGCTCTCCTGAAATCGTACAAATAACAGTGAGGTGAAATGGGTCCCCAATCAAAATTGCGCAACAAAATCGAAATCCAGTTCATAAACTGTCTTGATAATTGATTTGACTGTCTTGACTGGGTGCTGCCATTTCGTTTGAAGCAAATGCAATTATGAGGACCAATCTGATTGGTCCATAGGAGAGACTTAGAAGGGACATAACTTGTAATAGCCACTGGTGGCGCTACGATCGAGCTTAGGAATTCCACCCTAGTTCGGCAAGGGTGGAAACTGGACTTTTAAAGTCAGCAATGTCTCTTGTCTCAGGAAAATGACTTATACAGTGACGTGCATGCATGTGTCAGTGTCTGTGTGTGGCGGCTTGTACCACTCCGGACTAATACCAGTTTACTAGTGCAAGCCCATTGAGATACGATGCCGGAGTTTTAACATGAATCCCCCACTAGACTTCGAGCCAACCAGTCGTTCTTTTATGCCCTTAATGCCAAGCATCAGGCATGGTAACAACAAGCACCATCTTTTAACATCCTTGGGCTGTATCCACTAGCCCATGGACGTGCTTCTAACAAGAACAGTTTACTGTAAATCTCTCCGTTCATAAAGGAAGTTGAATAAGTTGGATGAATGTTACTTTAGAATGCATTTTTCAGTCTTAGAGCTTGATATGCCGATGACAATGACCTAAAACAAGGTTCCAACTTACTCGGATTTTAGAAGGCAAAACTTGTAATGGCATGGTTAAAACAAGCATGAAATACTCATATCCCCCACCAATATGGCATGTCCAGTTGTGTGCAAGGCATTAGACCACAGAAAACGAGCACTACTGCCATTTTTAGTCGAAGTCAAAGTCAAAGTCATTGCTATGGAAGCCTTGAAAAGAATGTTTTTAACAAAAAATAAAACTATCAAAAGGCACCAGTTCACCACCAGACCTATTTACGTGCCAAGTTTGGTGAATCATATTGTATGGTTTTCAAGACCTGCTCCAGAAAGCAGCGCTACCGCCATTTTCAGTATAAGTCAAAGTTGTTGCCATGGAAACTCGAAAAATACATTTTTAAAAAATCCCAAACTATCAAAAGGTTCTCCACTAGACCTATCTATGTGACAAGATTGGTTAAGATATATGTCATGTTTTTTTAGTTCTGCTCCGGAAACGAAACGTGACAGACAGACGGAAGGATGGATGGGCGGAAGGACAGATGGATAGCACCCATTCCTATATCCCCCTTCCACTTCATGGCAGGGGTAATAGGTTTGGGGAGCCTCAAGGGCACACTTTCATTCCAAGTGGCACAGTTAAGGCGAGGTGAAATGGGGTTTAACGCCGCATCCAAGATTATTGCACTTAAAAAGCGACCTGCATACATGTGTGTGTGTGTGTGTGTGTGTGTGTGTGTGTGTGTGTGTGTGTGTTGCTGCTTGTACTGGTTCAGACTGATGCTGATTTTAGAATGCTAGCACACTGAGATACCATGCCGCAGTTTAACATGAATACCCCTCTCAGACACAGTGTACTGACTCCGAGCCGACCAGCCCTTTGCTTTAATGCCGAGCGCCAGACAGGGTAACAATTGGTACCATCTTTTAATGTCTTTGGGTATGACACAACCGGGGATCGAATCCAGGACTTCCAGCTCTCCAGGCGGCCGCTCTACCACTAGACCATGGAGGCGGTCCGGCACACCTAAACATCGTTATGAGCATGAACAACATGGTGATGGAACTTGTACATACCTAGCTGCTGGAATCGTTCATCACATCCCCTTTTAACCAGAAGACTCATTGTAAAGTAACCAGCACTGAACCACTGGGCCATCTCCTCTGGGTTAAAAGGACCTGAAAAAGTGGAGTGAGTGAGTGGGTGAGTGAGTGAGTTGATGAGTAAAATCTGATTTCAGGGTCTGCACACAATACATGTTATCTCTTCATCTTACAAACTAGTAATGTACTTAATCTCCAGTGTTTGTGAGCCTGGTAAGTTTAGGTAGAGCTCAGAAACTTCAAGGAAACACTATTGCAGCAGGAAGGCATCTATCTCAAAGAGACAAACCAGCAATGGAGACTCCCATATTTTAGTCAACATGGCGCTAAGATCACTTTGTCAAGCGGAGCCCGACTGGTTACTTTGGAGACATTGCGGTAACTTGACACTGCTTTAGGCACCTTATATGACAAGCAAGGGTACTAGGATCTTTCCTGATAAAGGAGACCCTAATTATATATAACACAATAAGAGTTATTAAAGTCTGTGTCAAAAGCTTTTAAGTATTCAAGCCCTAAACTTTCACTTGACATCATTTTTAGTAGATCTCAGTGTTATTACATGGACTTAAGCAAAGCTTACAGGACCAAAAGACATTTTACTAGAACTATTACTGGAGCTTTGAACTACTGTATTCGACATAATAAGCGCCCCGCTCTAATAAGCGCCCCAGCGATATTAGATAATATATTGGCTAGTGAACAATCCTAATAATACGCGCTTGTGTGTTATATGCACTTTTAATTATGGGCAATTAAATTCTTGAAAAATATATCTGTTGTACATAAACATTTCAGGCTGTCGGATAAAACCACAAAATTTATCTTTCAACTCTTTTTTTGTCACCAAAATAATATTCTAATAAGAGCCCCCTATTTCTAATTTTGAGAGCGTCGAATACGGTATTGGCTAAAGTAACAGACTGGCATTACTCCAGTGCTCAAAGTCATGGATTTAACCTGTACCACTCAACATTTGCTAAGGACCACTCCTTGGACTTCAGATAACTATATTTTAGGCCTTGGCAGGAGAATCTAAATATTCTAACAATGCCTCCTAAGAGATACGTTTCGTGTCATGTCCCTTGTGATGTCCTTGTGGGTATATGTGTACCTTGGACATCTCCTTGGGGATCCCTGTAAAACCACTTGAGGGACTCTTCATGACTTAGAGGGACACCTTGAGTCCGAGGGTCCATGGGACCTCTCTGTAACCTGTTCTCTTCATCCTGATCAGAAAACAGCATTTTTATCTCATGGAAATTCTACCTTCCATGATTATCATCAACCTTCTTCCACTCAACAAAGTTTATGGTGAATGTGTTTACCAAGTTTCATAAAGATTTCTCTAATAATTTTCAAGTTCTGCTCCAGACATGAAACCCGCTGCTTTCATTCAGTTTAGGGACCAAGTCCAATTTATAAAATTCATATAAAAGAAAAGACAATTTTGGGGGAATCATAAATAGCTAAAGGCACATATACACCATACGGTGAATGTGTGTACCAAGTTTAGTAAAGTTATGTCTTATGGCTTCCGAGTTCTACACCGGAACCTCAAGAAACCACACATTTAACCACATCAAATCCACATCAAACCCAGATTACTTTGGCACCAACGCCCACATGGCATCAAACCTACATCACATTGGCACCAACGGCCACATGGCATCATACACACATCACATTGGCACCAACGGCCACATGCCATCAAACCTACATCGCATTGGCACCAACGGCCACATGGCATCATACACACATCACATTGGCATCAACGCCCACATGGCATCACACCCACATGGCATCACACCCACATTACACTGGCACCAACGCCCACATGGCATCACACCCACATCACATTGGCACCAACGCCCACTTGGCATCAAACCTTCATCACATTGACACCAACGCTCACTTCGCATCAAAAACCGAAACAACAAGCCAATAGATCACCCCTTCTCTCCCACCTGGCACGACAAAGGCCGACACAAGGGCAACACGCTAGGAAGATTCACACACACGTCTCCCCACATATTTTGTACCTCAGCTGTCATTTCGGCTACCATGTTCTCAGCGGCCTCCTTTAATCTATCCAAGGGATCACTGTCCGCTGTTGGCAGGCCACCCTTAACTTTCTTGACAGGTACACTCACTTGGTTCACACTCATAGTGTTTAATGTCTGTTCAACTGGAGCACTGTTTGAGTCATTAAGACTTTGTGACACATCCCCAAACTGCACAGATTTTGAGGGATCTATTCTCTTAGGTTCCTGATTGGATTTGACAGCAGGCTGTGGAGACTGAGACTGGCTGTTGCCATGGTTACTAGCACTTTCTTGTTTGACCTCGGGAGCACTTGTTGAGCGCTGATTCTTCTTATCCTGAAAGTTCAGAAATGTCTGGTGACAATGATGCTAATAAATCATACATCCAGGATCATGTGATTTGAAGTGCCAATATATTCCTTCTAGATCACGAAAGATATTCTTGTCTTTGAATAGCATTAAGAAGTCAAACACATAAGGAAGAGAATTTATGGATGCCAACTTCTTTATTATGAGGAACGGTGAGTTGTGTTTTAATGCCGATTTGAAGAGTATATACGGTAATAATAAGCTGGATAATCAAAGAAGTCAAACAACAGGCGTACCCTTCTCTGTTCTCGAGGTGGTTCCTTGCCCTGAGGAGGCAAGTCTGTGTTAGGCTGTGACGGTGACTGATTGGTGTTCTGTACATCAGAGTGCGGACTCTCTCCATTTCTAAAGCCCTGCAAACAACTGTATCATGACAACCTGACATGCACAAATATCAACAAGGTCAGTTTTGTTGGTTTGTTTTTTAATTCCACACTCAGCAATAGTCCAGCTATATAACATTGGTCTTTAAATAATAGAGTCTGGACCAGACAATCCAGTGATTGACATCATGAGCATCGATCTTGCAATTGGGATATGACATACATCAACCAAGTCAGCGAGTCTGACCACCCAACCATTAAGTCGCCTCTTAGGACAAGCATAGTCGCTTTTTACGGCAAGCATGGGTTGCTGAAGACCTGTTCTAACCCGAATCTTCATGGGTCAACAAGGTCAGCGGTCAAATTTAATGGTGGTCAAGAGACCCTTTAAATATTGCAAAATTTATACATATAAATATTTAACCTGTTCAAAGAAACTCATAAAACAGCGTGACTGCAGTAAGCTTAATAATCTGAGGAAAATGAAATTGAATTGACATCCTACCTTCGGATGAGAAGTAACAAATGCCCCACTGGCATCGAACGTTCCCAGCTCTTCCATATCATCATCACCAGGAACACTCCATTCAGGCAAATCTACATGAACAAGTCCGCATAAACACAACTCTGTGAAAGTGCCATGGTAATATACATGTGGGGGATGTTTGATGGGTGGGTGGGTGTGTGGGTGGGTGAGTGAGTGAGTGAGTGGGTGAGATGAACACCACGAGTTATGTAACAGTATGTTGGCTTTCTGAGGAGGGTAATGCAGATCTTCAATGTATACTGAACAAAAAAAGTAAAGGATCATGAATATTTTTGGGGACATGTTCATGAAATTGTGTGCTCAGATTTCACTACAAAAAGCACTATATCCCAAAACATATTCATGATCCACAACTTTTCTTGCTCAGTATATTCAGACAGGGTTTGAGTAAGATATGGCTTAGGTATTTGAACAACTGGCTTTCAACCCTCCAAGCAGACCGTTTTCAGACCAGTGTCCTAATCCTTATTTTAAACTAATCCTCACTCTAATCATTTATTTCAGCACGACTGAGTCATGAGGGACCTATACTGTTAAAGAGTCCTTCATCATGCTGATTGGTAGGAGTCTAAATATTCCGATTTTCAGAATATGTAGAAGTATTACCAAGACACACACAAGTGTACAATGTCTATCTCACACTTCCATGTTCTGATACTGACAAATGAATACTTATGAGTGTGTTCAGAATGTTCTGCAACTTGCAGGCCTTACCCAACACAATTAACGACAAGCTCATGATGCATGACAAGAGATTATGTGGGCAACACCACATCGAAGCAACTCTTGAAAACTCAATGGGAAAACTGATGGGAGTCAGGACAAGTTCATGTTGACTGTCCCCCTGTTTCTGCAGCAGGGTACAACACTGTACAAGACATCAAACAACCACACTTTCATAAGGTCTAACATTCTTTGTGCTTGCTTTACGGATCTGCCAAACAAAGAGGGAGGGAAGGAGGGAGGGAGAAACTAACAGTCAAGATCACTTTGACAACAAAATTTGTACAGGACTAAAACAGAAAACATTTTTAACGACATACATCTCCACTGGTGCTATAAACTGTCCTCAGTGCATATGGTTGTCATGGTAATGATAAACCCTAATCAACTGTCAGCCCATCCAAAACCAAAATCAAAATCTGGACCAACTATCAACTGACATAAAAGTAGTGGTGTCCACGGCTCCGGTCCATAAACCAATACTACCACAAGCTACAACAGTCATACATCTAAGTTCAAGTGTGGGTTTTCTGATGATTGGTGTGCTCAGGTCACTTTGAGTCACAGGCCAGTTGCAGAACCTTCTGAACACGATGATGTGCAACAGGGTAACTCATACAAACACAGAAAGTGAAACAGACACTTTCCTGGTATATTGCCTAAAAGTATAAATGCCTCACAGATTACACCGATATTTCAAAGTAAACATTACATTTATTTATTTCATCATATTCAGCTCAAAAGAAGTAAAAGAACACCTGATTCTTTTATATTACTATCTGAAACTGCCAGTCCATCACAGATTAACCATAGCAATATGAAAGAATCGCGTGTTGTTTAACTTCTTTTGAGTAGTATATAAGGAAAATCCAATTCAACGAAGTTGTCCTTGCATTACCAAAGTAGAATTGAGAAGAACGTGTAATCTGAACATTTATAAGTTTGGGCATGACCATGTTTGGTTGGTTGAGTGTTGACTGTACCATCCGTGTCCCATGATTCACTACTCCTACTGCGTCTGTACAGCTGGTGCTTAACATCGGCATCCGAAAGTGTTCGGTCTTTATTGGGACCATTTTGTCTCCGCTCACCATCAAATCCACCTCGACCAATAGGTTCTCTCCAGTTGGTCCGTGTGCCTAAAAATATAAAATGCCAACTCAAAAGAACTGTCAGGACTGATTTTTCTTAAGTCTTTTTTGTTGTTTAATGCCACACTCAGCAATATTCCAGCTATATGATGGCAGTCTATAAATAATCAAGTCTACACCAAACAATCCAGTGATTGACATTATGAGCATGGATCCACACAATTGGGATACGATGACATGCATCAACCAAGTCAGCGAGCCTGACCACCCGATGCTGTTAGTCACCTCTTACAAAAAGCATAGTCGACTTTTGTGGCAATGATGGGTTGCTGAAGACCTATTTTACCCGACCTTCAGTGTTCGAGTTTCGTTAGGAAAAAGCATTCTTGATCATCCAGTGTATTTTATCGATACTACTCTAAAGAAGTTAAAGTACACCCACTTTTGTCACGACAGATTACCTATAATCATAGGAAATATTCAGGTGAAATTTAACTTCGAGTAGAATATATTCTATTATGAAAAAAACAATCAAATCATTTGAGGTGAAATGGGTTTTTTTCAAAATAATTGCATGGAGGTGGTCCGTACTAATATAAGAGCATATTCATCTGTTGGCCAACTTACTCCATCTTTCTTTCTGTGGCCCTGCCCTTCGCCAGTCTCCTGCATCATCTTCATGTGTCTCTTCTTTCTCTCGCCAATTATCACTGCTCAGCGATCGAGAGAACTGAGGGTGTCGCCCCCCTGCTTGGACGTCCTCAATAGTACGGGTGGAGAAGCTTCGGTCATACTTTTTACCACTGGAAAACGCAATGCACATGAAATAGATATTTTACAGCTGCTGATGTTAATTTCCGTGATAGCGTGACACTGTGTCATCCGTTTTCTACGACAACCTTACCAAACAGGTCACACGGAAAGGAAACTTGAACAAAAGTTTCCTCATCATGAAACCTGAGAAGCAACAGTCAGAGAAGGTAGTCACCTTTATTGTATGACTAAGGTAGTAGGGATGAGTAAAACTGGCAGTTTTTGTGACGACTCGGTTGACTTATGGAATTCAACTTCTTTATTATTTCAATGCGACACTTCGGTAGGTGCTGAAACCGTTATCACTTGGTGGATAAAGGTACCTAAACCTGCGAGTAGATTTTTTGTGTATTTCGTTTTCAATGGCGTCACCAGTAGTCTGATGGCAAATGGCAGTAAAGTCAATCTTCCTAATGGTAAAAGTTGTAGACAATACGGAAATGTCACAATTCTTTCCTGAATCTTACTATGTTCGGACAAGCTGACTCAAGGTAATTTCAATTCCTGAAGAATATGTTGGTGAAGGTGTCAATGATTCAGCAGTTATTACTGATTATGATCTTGTTGCTAGGTACTCTGAAATAATCTTAATGTTCACAACATGTTTGATATTTGGATTACTAGTGACCTTGACGAAATTATCCCAAAATATATTCCAACTGAGTCTGGCCAAGAGATAATATCCCAAGTTCAGTAAAAACTATCCAAAAGTCAAATCAAAAATAGCCTTAACCATTTCTACATATAGAACATTTTGACACTTCCAACTTGGCAACCATAAGAGCTGTGCTTAAAATGTCATCATCTGCATCAAAAACACAGACAGCTGTGAGCATCAGGCTTACACTTCTTCCCATCCATCTTTGTTCTGACCCCGCGATCTCCCAAAACCACCGCCGTTCTCTGCTTGGTCAAAGGGCTGAGTTCTTGGAGGGAAACCATCGCCTCGTCCCCGCCCTGAAAAAGTGCCATCTTCGTAAGAATGACACAACCATCATGAATTACTTCACACTTATATCTACAGTATCTGGTGATGGATATTTGAAGACTGTACATGGAGATGAATTTCTGAAGTACTTTAAACACATCATGGAAAATCTCAAAGTAAGGTCTTAATTCCAGCCTTGAGTGAGTGAGTGAGTTGGGTTTAACACCGCTTTTAATATTATTCCAGTTATGTCACGGTGTGTCAGCTTAAAGTGGGAGGAAATCCCGAAGTGATGCAGGTCTCGGACGTTTACCACTTCAGTAAAACCCACAAGCACGGGTATGATGCCGACAAACCTAGAAACATAATCGGGGCGAACCAGGATTCCAACCCACAATCATAGGTTTCTGACATGCCCAAGGGACGCAACTCTGCACAGTGAATCGCAGAGCCTTAGACGACTGGGCCACTCGTGCCCCTTCCAGTCTTAAATAACACAGAATTCATAAACAGGTATTCTCACTAACTGAAGCCAAACAGTTCTCACAGAGGGCTGAAACGATACACCAAGGCACTGCCATATCAAGCTCGGGATCATGATGTCTCTCATTCTAGATCGATATATCTAGTCTTCGATAAATGGTTTCAATAATATCTGCACATCAGATGGTTCACAAACTACTTCTGACTAACATTTCAGCAATATTCATTATTCAATCTGATCATGTATTTGTGTTGTCATAAAACCTATCTAAAACAGATCCTGTGAAAAGATTTGACCTTTGTTTGCCTTGTTCGGTCACGAGTATGTCATCTTAGCCAAGGGTACTCTGGCAAGGATCACGTTGTTCACAACACAATGATACATATATTGCGACGTTAGTGCATTGTTTCAACCCCTGTGGTCACCAGGTGATTGTTGGGTGCCTACCTCTGCCTCTCCCCCGGTCTCCACCCCCTCTGCCCCCTCGGACTGGCTGCCCCCCTCGACCCATGGACCGGAGCACTGTTGTACTGTTCACAGACTGAGACATCAACCTCTGTAAAAGGAAACAGAAACTTGTGATAATTCATGTCCAGGGTGACCAAGGGTTCTCATAATAGCTGAGCAGTCAGTTCAAAAAACTCTCCTGAAACAGCCTCATACCAATTTTCAGTTGATCTTTGTTTTAGCATGTGGACAATTATTAGCTGAGGATGCGGGACAAAAGGAAATGTTGCCAGATTCTGACATCGACTAGCATTGTATCCTTAAAAAATGTATATTCCTCTTTGATCCTACCTGCAAAATGTCAATGAGAAACTTAGGTGAGGTAAGGTTAAATGGGGTTTAACGTTGTGTCTAAGATTTATGCACTTCTATAGCAACGAGCATGCACATCTATGTGTGTTTGTGTGTGTGGCTGCTTGAACTAGTCCGAACTGATGCCGATTTATAGTGCTAAGCCCACTAAGATACCATGCCGCAGTATAACATGAATACCCCACTCAGACACAGTATACTGACTCCGAGCCGACACAGTCCTTGTTTTAGCCCCTTAATGCCGAGCGCCAGACAGGATAACAACAAGTACCATCTTTTAAAGTCTTTTGGTACGACGCGGCCAGGGATCAAACCCTGGACCTTCCTTTAGCTCATATCTCAGTACACAATCCAGTGATTGATATTGTGAGCAATGATCCACGACGTCCTGGTACAATGACACACTATTAAACTCACCCAGACTACCCAATCCATCAAGTGGCGTCTTTACGACCAACATAGGTTGCTGGGGACATTCTCACCTGGAATCCACCCATGGCACTTAAAATGAATAATACTAAACAAGTCCTCAAAAGCATTTTAATCCCTTACCTGTTCTTCCTCAGTTAGAGAAATTAGAGCTAGTGGTTTCTGCGCCTCTTCAACGTAGACTGGCGGGAAGTTGACAAGGTCTTCAGGGGCTTTGTAATTACTGTGAAAGAGGGCTAGCATCTCCTCCCGCCCATATCTGTATTCTGCTAGCTTGAATTTGCCCCCTAACCCAGGTGTGGGCGGGGGAGATGCAACACTGTTCCCGCCAGACAGCTGTCGGAGCCTGGGGAACACGAGCAAGGCATTTTAACAGTATTCTACATCCATCATTATGAATGGCTCTCAAGAGTAGTGACACGGTGGAAGTTAGTGTGTCAACACTATACACTGGCTGGTTATACACTGGCTATCGATATAGATCATGGAGATCGCTAATCACTAACTATGTATCAATCAATTATCAATAAATATCAGAGAAGTAACTTTTAAGAAAATATGAAAGAAAAAAGGGGTGGGGTGGTGAAACAGCATTTTCGTCATATCACCTGGACTTTTACGCTTAATTTCACACATTGTAATATACAGCCTCAGCTATATAGCACGATACACATCTACAGTGAGGAATTGAGTCTGATTTTGATTCTGGTTCAGCAATATTCTGCAGCTGTTTCATAATCTGACAGTGTTGTAGCTAGGTGCTCATTCAAAGTCAACAAACACCATCAAACACCTCGCCCCTCATTAATATGCCATGCATATATTACTTATCTTCAATGAATACTCTTCCTCTTTGTCATTCATATATTAAACATAACAAATTTTGTTTTAGACACTGTTCTTATTTAACGTGTTCAACAATGCATGGTAGCTTGAACACGGTTTAATACAATCGTCATTGTACATATCATGGTTCCAGTAACTTGAAATTTCTGTTTTCAAGGCCACAGTTTATTTTTTCAGTTGCTCTACGGATTCGCTATCCCTAACTTTTTGTTGAAATGGAAAAAAGAAAAATTCAGAATCTTTTCGATATCCTGCCAATAAGATGAATGTTCCACCATAAAAATATTTTCCAAGCAAGGATCCAAAGAAGTCAACATCAATGAAACATTGGGAGTGAAAATAAGGTTTGTTGTTCATGACACGATACATCTTCCCTGGCAAGAGCGTCCACTAGCCTTTTAAATCAAAGTCTTGTTTCCACCTTTGCCACATCAAGCCCACTTTCTTGTGCTAAATATGATTGGACTATCAAACATATCGATAGGTTTCTCCTTCTTACCGACAGGTATTTTCCCATAAAAATTCCGTAAAGCAATTAAAAAAATGTGGCCTTACAGAGATAAACCCCTTTGTGCATGTACTTACCATTCAGGGCCAAATTTGAGAGTATCTGCCATTTTAATATTTGTTGAATAGCTGAAAAAAATAAAGAAAAGTAGACATAATCAAATAATCAGATACAGAAATATTATTTACATAAAATCTGAGGAATTGGGAATATTTTGATTCAATTTTAACTTTCATTTGCTGCTGACATGGGGCCAAATATCGGCCTCTGAACAGATCTAAATAAATCAATGTAACCTTCAACCCAACACAAACAATATATCTGTGCACTGAATTTGAAATAAATGGAGACCCCTGGCATCTCAAAATGACAGATAATACTTGTAACATGATATACAGGGGATATACCAGCATTTTTCTATTGATTTGGGTGTCTAAAGTGACAACTGTACCAACAACAAATAAGATAAATAAGCATTATTATGGATGGGGATTTCCTTGATTGAGTGAAGTAAATTGGATGTGTAAAGTACATTCCGTATGTATGCAACCACAACTACAGCCGAATTGTACTTAATTATTCAAACAGCCATACTTTTTGAGCATCCCATGGGATATGCAGGGTACATTATGTGGGTCAATTTTCGATTTTTATGTCAAGGACATGATATTATGCAACCCTGCATAAACCTACATCAGTAAAGGAGGGGTTTATCTACATCAGCTCAGTGGCCGACAGTAAAAATTCTCCATTCCTCAGTCCAATCTTTTAACAATATCACACTGTTTTCCCAAGTTGCCTGCCAAAGGCCCTCAAGTTTGGAATCCTAGATAAATCTGTATAGAGTGAGGTATCGCTGCCTCTACAACAATTTTTAGTACTAATAGTATTTCATTATTGCCTCTAGTTTCAGTCTTTACATGGGGAATGAGTCCATGCTAAATGTTAAGTTTCATGGAAAACAAAGCATTGCAGTTTTACAACACATTTTCACAATGAACCAATATCAAAATGAACTAGAAAATGAGTAATGAATGAGTTGAATTTTACACAACGAATCAAAATCCAGTCTGACGAGAAAACATTTTAATCACTGAGCTACTTAACACCCCAGAAAATATAAGGAAGTAATACTGGTTTACTGCCTAGCCAACAAGTCAGAACATGATATTTTAAGAGACAAAAGCTGAGTTCAGTACACCAAAACTGGGTTTGTATTAAAAGTAACAAGAAAAGGGCGTTATCACTATCCCCCGCCATGGGGCACATTGGAGTATTGTTTGTTCATACAGTACTTATAGAAGTGATTAACATGGAAGTAAATCTTAACTATCATAAAAAAAACCAGGAGTCCTAAGTTTTTAAGAAAATGTGTCCCCATTGAGAAGCGGACGGCCAAACATTCCTTTATCACCCATCCCACTTCGGATAATAAAAGCAATCAAAGAGGTTGAGTGATAATTGTTTGTCTTTTGTCTGTTGTTTAATGCCGCACTCAGAAATGTTACAGCCATATGGCGGCTTTCTGTAACTAATCAAGTCTGGACGAGACAATCTGGTGATTGACATCATGAGCATCAATCTTCACAATTGGGATAAAATGACATGCATCAACCAGGTCAGCGAGCCTGACCACCAACCATGTTAGTCGCCTTAAGTCATACAACAAGCAGTGTCGCCTCTTATGGCAAGCATGGGTTGCTGAAGACCTCTTTTCCACCCGGATCTTCATGGGTGTTGATGGGTATTCACATGATGTAGCCACTAGTATGACACGGCTACTTCACGTAATTGTTCATAGTGAATCGTTTGTGTCAAATATAGGATTTTGTCCCAATGGTAGATTTTTTTCAGAAACAGAATAAACATGAGAGAATATAAGATGCCTTTACACATATATCATTCATATATTCACAGCAAGATACACATGATAAAGGGCATTATTACCTGTCATTGATAAACACTCAATTATTCATGATATAGAACATGAGAAACCTAAACAAGTGTTTAACATGATAGATCTTATTCTCATGGGGTTATCAATGCAAATGAAATTATTTCCTTCGTTAATCAAATACCGTATCATTAAAGTGACTTACAAAGAAGTACATGAAGAAGCTTATCTTTAAATCTAAATAAAATTTGGAGAAATAGTTGAATTAGATTATTATATTCTTCATAACAAATCAATATCTTTGAGAAGCAACACCATCCTTGTGTCTGTATGGAAATAAGTTCATCATTATAGTAGTTTTGTTTGTTTGTTGTTTAACGCCGCTCTCAGCAATATTCCAGCTATAAGACGGTGGTTTGTAAACAATCGTGTCTCGACCAGACAATCCAGTGATTGACATCATGAGCATCGATCCACGCAATTAGGATACGATGACATGCATCAACCAAGTCAAGGAGCCTGACCACCTGATCCCGTTGGTCGCCTCTTACGACAAGCATAGTCGCCTTTCACGGCAAGCATGGGTTGCTCTAGACCTATTCTACCCCGGATCTTCACGGGTACATTGAAGTAGTCCTTCCCTCTTTATCAACAATTGTAAACTGATACTGAAACAAACATAAAAGTGTGGTCACATTTGCCAGGCTTCAGGAAGATGGATCACAGTGTTTCCTTCCCTGTAATATTATCAACATATTTACTCTCTTCAAAAGGTGGGATTTTTTTTTCAGTTCTTATTTTCTTAAATTCAGAGGCATTTTAATAATTAATGACTAAAACATTGACATCTTTTCCTCATTGATCCTGTTATGAGGAAGTCATATTAGTAATAAATACTAAGGAATACTGGAGTCTTGGCGTCAAAATGTCGGCCTCTCTGCAGGTCTAGATAAATTCCTGATAGGATATTTTTATCATGATAGGACCTTCTATTATATTATGACCAAATACGTTTGAAAGAATCTTCAGGAGAAAATCAGTCAATGTCCTGGAAAATAAATCCCATGAGAAAACTGCAACATTGCCAATATTGCCCAAAAGGCCGAGTCAGATGGTCTCATAGTAAAGCTCTCCTAAGGGCTAGTAGAATTTCAGACCATGGAGGTGGGGATGGGGGGCATCCTTACACGTTATCACTTTTCAAGCTGGTAATATGTCTCAAGTTGCATCGCTTATAACATACAGCAACGTTGCAAAGTCAACGCAATTCTTCTACAAACATCTAGGCTAACAGACGACCATGTGGTCAGTCATTTCATCTCATCTTGAACATTATTGAACCCAATAGCTAACAAGTCACATCAAAATAAGTTGCATTGTTTGGATTGGTATCTGATACTCAATGTTATCACTTTTCAAGCTGGTAATATGTCTCAAGTTGTATTTGCTTATAACCATGCTTATAACATACAGCAATGTTGCAAAGTCAACATAATTCTTCTACAAACATCTAGGCTAACAGATGACCATGTGGTCAGTCATGTCATCCCATCTTGAACATTACTGAGCTCTATAAATAAAAAGTCACATCAAAATAAGTTGCATTGCTTGGATTGGTATCTGATACTCGATGAAAGAACTTTGACATCAGTGTTCAACAAATATGCTAACCCACAAAACAAACAACTTGTAACTGTAAGTGCAGGACTATCTCAAATGCTCCCATTAATTCATGATATTTGCATAACTTGATAAAATTTAGTATGATAGATTGACAACATAATATTAATCAATATTTGACTTCAAGTGTTCAAGCTATAGTGGGATTATTTCAACTTAATGTGATATTATTAGCTCATTGGGAATGAATCTTACTTTTCCTTTCTTAGGACTAGTTTGTTGGTTTAAATATACATACAACACATACATGACATATGCCGTAGATAAGAAAATCTTTTACATTTTCTTACAGTAACACAAAGGCTTGTAACTTACAACGGACTCCAGTGTCCTTATATAGTACAGGTTCAGACTACTCCACTGTGTATGTCCACATTAAATGTGAATCTATTTATCTTAATTGACATGACTGTGGGTTTGAAGTACTCAGTGTATTTAGCTGTACACTGTACTGTGGTTAATCGGTGACATACATGCAATAAAACCCATCGACATGATTAAGTGAATCATTTCTTTACTTAACAGATACCTGATCAGATATTATGAGGCAGGTTCTCTTAATGCGGTCATTTGACCCAAACACAGCTGACAACAGCCATTAACACAAACAAAACATTCAAAATTACATGGAACCATCTCCTGAAGGCTGAGGTGATATCGTGTGGTGATGTCGTGTCTGACAACTATGCCATCCATTATCCTACAGCAGTCTCTTTAGAAGACAGATTATTGGAAAGGTAAGTTTTGTAAGTAATTGTGTCATTGAATTGCAAAACAATTAACTTATTCACAAGTAAATATTCAGTATTCATAGTCTGTCACACTACATCACACATATAACAATACTTTACATAGGTACTTTGAAACTGGATGTGAGTTAAATGCACTAATAACATGTCAGTATGCAACCTTGCGAGATTATTGTTTCGCGTGCATGGCAAATTCTTAGGGAGTGAAATTGTGAAGACACATGATGCGCAAAAATATTCATATTACTACATCAATACCCTATTCATGTGTCATAGAGCATCGGTGCATAAGGTGGAAAGACCAACATAATTTGACATTTACAATGAGCAATAACTGTCAATCGATAAGGATGTGCAATAAGTAAAATATTTACACTTACAGATGGTAAGTAGGCCTATGCAAATCGTCGTGGTTTGTAACGGTACCAGATGTCAAGCGACAAACGGGCATAAAACATTGATGGAATGCGGTTATACGGTGTTTAATTAATAAATTGATATTGTCAGACATAGAAACAATGATTATAAGACCCCAAGATTGTGCCAGCAAAGTTACCTTGCCAATTTTACCAGCTTGCACACGAAAGCACACAACCAGATTATTGGAAACGTAAGTTTTGTAAATAATTGTGTCATTTGTCAAGTAAATATTCAGTATTCATAGTCTGTCACACTACACCACACGTAAACCATCAAGGAAACTGGGAGCCTGTCATGTTAGACCATCAAGGAAACTGGCAGCCTGTCATGTTAGACCATCAAGGAAACTGGGAGCTTGTCATGTTAGACCATCAAGGAAACTAGGAGCCTGTCATGTTAGACCATCAAGGAAACTGGGAGCCTGTCATGTTAGACCATCAAGGAAACTGGGAGCTTGTCATGTTAGACCATCAGGGAAACAAGAAGCCTGTCATGTTAGACCATCAAGGAAACTAGGAGCCTGTCATGTTAGACCATCAGGGAAACAAGAAGCCTGTCATGTTAGACCATCAAGGAAACTGGGAGCCTATCATGTTAGACCATCAAGGAAACTGGGAGCCTATCATGTTAGACCATCAAGGAAACTGGGAGCCTATCATGTTAGACCATCAAGGAAACTTGGAGCCTATCATGTTAGACCATCAAGGAAACTGGGAACCTGTAATGTTAGACCATCAAGGAAACTTGGAGCCTATCATGTTAGACCATCAAGGAAACTGGGAGCCTATCATGTTAGACCATCAAGGAAACTGGGAACCTGTCACGTTAGACCATCAAGGAAACTGGGAGCCTGTAATGTTAGACCATCAAGGAAACTGGGAGCCTATCATGTTAGACCATCAAGGAAACTGGGAACCTGTCACGTTAGACCATCAAGGAAACTGGGAGCCTATCATGTTAGACCATCAAGGAAACTGGGAACCTGTAATGTTAGACCATCAAGGAAACTGGGAGCCTGTCATGTTAGACCATCAAGGAAACTAGGAGCCTGTCATGTTAGACCATCAAGGAAACTTGAAGCCTGTCATGTTAGACCATCAAGGAAACTGGGAGCCTGTCATGTTAGACCATCAAGGAAACTGGGAGCCCATCATGTTAGACCATCAAGGAAACGGGGAACCTGTCACGTAAACTATCACAACTCCCCTACTGTAACATAAAATTACTACAGTCACGGGGTTAAGATTGCTTTGTGGAACACCCTGCTAGGTTAGACCCTAGAGAACAAATTAAAAAATGAATCCAACTCAAGTCTGGAGTGCTTTGGCAAGTCTAGATTGCCTCACCTCCTGACATTCAGCATTGTTCTGGGCTCCATTTGGATTATATTTTGTATTTTGTAGATATATATTTTTGAAAAAGATCTCTGGGACTAAATGTTAGACGACTGCAAGGCTTACCCCGTAATATCCCCACCAAAACTTGAGTAGTATGTGGTATTACTAAAAACACTGTATCAGAAGGAAATCCACTGATTGACATCATGAGCATTTATCCACGCAACTGGGATATGAACTGGGATTTGATGACCTGCATCCACCAAGTCAGCGAGCCTGACCACCCGACCATGCTTGGCCACCTATTGTACTGCATCGTGCACCCACTGACCTCAGCCCGTGTCCTTATTTCTGATTTGTTTGTTTGTTTGTTTACTCTGCACTCAGCTACATGACCACAACCTGAAGATAATCAAGTCAGGACCAGACAATCCAATGATTGATATTGTAAGCAATAGGGCTGGGACGAGTCCAAGTTTACTACCCGGGTACCCACATCCCTATTACCCGACCCTACCCGGGTACCCGCTGTTGGTGTCAAGAGATAGGTACAAAATGTCCGATTTGGAATAGTTTGACAGTAGCCCTGGCAGAATATATTTAGATACACATATAAAATGATGTGGTCAAGCATACACTGAAGTTGACTGAAGTTTTAGCTTTGTTCAAACATGTATAAGTCAGAAGGGACGTGCTCATAGTCATGAAGAAATGCGAACATTAGAGACTTAAAATTGTTGTGTAACCATGTAGTTATAAAGTGAAATTTTGTCAATAAACAATATATCACAGGGCTAACTACAGGTCCGGGTAGTCCTGCGGGTACCCGGGTCCTACTCGGTACCCACCCGACCCGGGTACCCGAGTTACCCATCCCTGCCCTATAACAACAGGTCCGGGTAGTCTTGTGGGTACTCGGGTCCTACTCAGTACCCACCCGACCCGAGTACCCGAGTTACCTGTCCCAGCCCTAGTAAGCAACAATACACATGGGCGGTGTATAATGAAACACAATCAACTAAACCACCAAGTATGACCACCCATCCCGTGTGCTCGCCTCTTGCGAAAAGTTCTAACCCAGTAACCCCAGATAATGATTGATATTATGAGCAGCGATCCATGCAGGCTTGGTACATGGGAAGTACATCAGTTTAATGAGTGAGGAAAGCCTGAAGTGATGCAAGTCATAGACCTGTTCAACAAGCATTGCTGGAAAGCATCTTGATCAACCAAGTCTTATTGTTGGGATCAATTACATAGATAACACAAATAATCACATATACCGGCAATGACAAGAAATCTCTACTAGTAGCCGAGTCCATTGTACGATTCCGACCATATCTTAAGCATGTGTATATGAGTCACTATCAAATAGTGATGAATCCAGGTTTATCCACTGGCACCCATCACAAACACATGAAAAGGCAAGTCAATTGTACGATTCCGACCATATCTTAAGCATGTGTATATGAGTCACTATCAAATAGTGATGAATCCAGGTTTATCCACTGGCACCCATCACAAACACACGAAAAGGCAAGTCCATTGTACGATTCCGACCATATCTTAAGCATTTGTATATGAGTCACTATCAAATAGTGATGAATCCAGGTTTATCCACTGGCACCCATCACAAACACACGAAAAGGCAAGTCCATTGTACAATTCCGACCATATCTTAAGCATTTGTATATGAGTCACTATCAAATAGTGATGAATCCAGGTTTATCCACTGGCACCCATCACAAACACACGAAAAGGCAAGTCCATTGTACAATTCCAACCATATCTTAAGCATTTGTATATGAGTCACTATCAAATAGTGATGAATCCAGGTTTATCCACTGGCACCCATCACAAACACACGAAAAGGCAAGTCAATTGTACGATTCCGACCATATCTTAAGCATTTGTATATGAGTCACTATCAAATAGTGATGAATCCAGGTTTATCCACTGGCACCCATCACAAACACACGAAAAGGCAAGTCAATTGTTGACTTGACAAAACACGCAAACATATGGTACAAGTCAAATACATAAAATATCGTGTGTTTCAGGAACAGTTCATCATGTGGATGCTAATAAAATCTCCAGCATAACCCCTTTCTTTATCCCATCGATACGTTAACATGCCATTGAAATACTCACAGACAATCCAGTGACTGATACAAATAATGACTTATGCAATCAGTGTTTGTTTTTTAATGACGCACTCAGCAATATTCCAGCTGTATGATGGGAGTCTGTAAATAATCCAGTTTGAACCAGACAATCCAGTGATTGATATGAATAACGACCCATGCCATCATTGTTTGTTGTTTAACACCGCACACAGCAATATTCCAGCTGTATGATGGGACCAGACAATCCAGTGATTGATATGAATAATGACCCATGCCATCATTGTTTGTTGTTTAACGCCGCACTCAGCAGTATTCCACTATATGACAGCATGCCTTGAAATAGTTGCCTCTGGACCAGACAATCCAGTGATTGATATGAATAATGACTTATGCAATCATTGTTTGTTGTTTAACGGCACACTCAGCAATATTCCAGCTGTATGATGGGAGTCTGTAAATAATCGAGTCTGGACCAGACAATCCAGTGATTAGCATCATGAACATAGATCCAAGCAATTGGGATACGATGACATGCACCTGTGAAGATCCAGGTTAGAATAGGTAAATAATCCAGTTTGGACCAGATAATCCAGTGACTGATATGAATAACGACCCATGCAATCATTGTTTGTAGTTTAACGCATATAATATAATAATTAGATGCACAGCAAGGGCTTTTATAAGTTATCATTGTGTAACATTTATATAACATTTCATATAATTATAGTTTAGCAAGTAAAAATACCCCAAGGGTCAAGAAATAAACAGGACTCTTTATGTGCCAGTCAGTTAATCACAGGATGTACGGTATTATCACCCGTGTATACATACTGACAACACTGATTTGACACGTCTCGAAGGAAATGATTATTAGTTTAAAGATCATTCCTAGATTATAAAAATAGTAACAACAAGTTGTTCCTAAGAGTACTGTCTGCTTATCTAGACTTGCCTATCCAAAGTAAACAATGACTATACATACATGGACTTATCATTCAGTACAGACTTGGAGCAAGGCTATGTTAACCCCAACAACAATGGGTTGATACAGCAATATACACATGGGTATACATGGTATACGGACATGTAATACTGAAACAGATGCAAAGACCCAACCCTACTTTCACATGAAAAACATGGTTAGTTTCTCGTATGACACTGCATTGAAACATAAATATGGAAAACATCCCGAGCAAGTCTATAATGCCCTGCCAAATGTAGATTTCTCCTGACAAATGATGAGATTCTATGCATTCCTTTGTATGATATATTACAAGACAATGCAAACAAAAAATCTAAACACACTTTTATGTCAGAGACAAAATGTTAGCACCGTATTAGCCGTAATAAGTGTCCTAGGTCTAGCCACAACAACTTAAACCTGTTGTCAGGCATATAGCGGTAGAGAAGGAACTTAGTTTAGACATTGGTGACACCAAAGCTTGTTTGATAATAATTATACATTGATGGACAATATACACAAGAAAATAGGACCTTATCATGTAAATGTAATATTGGACTGGGGTGGTTTTATGGCGAATACAGTGGCTACCATTGGTATAAAATCACCTACCTTAAACAATCTTCCATCTAGAAGTGAATATCAGGAGGCTGTGTCAGGAGGTTGTGTCAGGAGGCTGAGTCAGGAGGCTGTGTCAGGAGGCTGTGTCAGGAGGTTGTGTCAGGAGGATGTGTCAGGAGGTTGTGTCAGGAGGTTGTGTCAGGAGGTTGTGTCAGGAGGCTGTGTCAGGAGGTTGTGTCAGGAGGCTGTGTGGAGAGGTTGTGTCAGGAGGTTGTGTCAGGAGGTTGTGTGGAGAGGTTGTGTCGGTGACGGCACAGACATGTTGGTCCGGGTCTGCAACAATGTCCAACAAAATGAACACAACTAATTGACAGCCAAAGGAAGAAAGATAAACCATAATTACTATGCAAATGTAAATGTTTATGCCCTGATATCATGGAAATAAAATACAAAATGAATTTCATGAAATTTTTTAAGTAAGGTAGATCTGTGTGATTTTTCGTGGGAGGGAGACGTGGTTATGTGACATCAGCAGGTCTTTACAGCAGCAATGGAATAAAGACAAAGAACTTGGTCAATGAATGGATCATAATGAATAAATACTCATCATAAAGAGAGGTGTTTTTGTTGGAAATACGGTAGTTGAATACTTCGGTTTGTTTACACTGTTCGGGCATGGACAGTGTGTGAAGGTACGCACTTATATTACATGTACATACAAGAATACAGGAAGCGCGCTGCCTGCTTCCTCGCCACACAAACACTTGGGATGTGCAGCAGAGAGCAGCAAAGACAGGTGACAATGTCTTGGAATGTCCTGTGAATGGCAAAGGCACATGCCATAGTTTTGAGCATGCCTCGTCCCTATTTGACAGAATGGCAGCTCCATGCGAGGAATATAAACTGTCAAGTGAAATATATACATGAACTTACAACTGTCCCTGACCAGCGATGGAGATGCCACGAGACAGAATGTTGGAGTAGTGATGCCAGCCACAAGTAACGTGCCGTGCCCGCCATGGCCAGCTGATAGAGGTAAACAAGGCCCCTTGTGATCTCGCCTGTGATTGGAGCTTGCTGCTTCCGGTTAAGGAAAGGCGGGTGATTGGTTAGACTTGCTCCAAGTCTCTACTGAATTATAAGTACATGGGTGTACAGTAATTCTATCATGATTATAATGGACTGGTCTACAAGGGGGCCAGTCTTTTACAGGGACAATGTGTTCTTATTATTTATATATTTAAGGAACTACGATTGGAACTGATAACCATATTCTAAGAGACTTGTGCCAGTGTAGTGGTCGGTGAAATGGAGACCATGAGCAGGGTGGATGTTCACAAGTTGTGGGTTTGTGCGAAAAGTGGAAATGAGTAGAAAAGAGAAGAACTATGAGGAAGAAGATATATTTGAGCCATTGGTTGATGTGAAAAAAATAAAGCAAAATTATGCAATAATGTGTTGGGTTTTTTTTCAGAAAACATAAGACATGAAGGTAAATGCCGACATCATCATTTTTCTGTCAAATCTTACTGAAATTACATCATAAACAGGCTATTTATGCATTTGCATGAAGGAGTGCACTTGGGTTCAACGATGAGATGTAGGTCTTAGACATTTACCACTTAGGCAAAACCCATGAGCATGGGTATGGTGCTGAATGACCTAGAAACATAATAGGGTCAAACCAGGATTCAAACCTAGGATCACTGGTTTCTTGGATTCATTTTTAGATCAACATATTGTCTCTTCAAGTTTCCTAATTCCAGACTAGATTCAAGAATGGAATGGGATGGGATGGGATGGGATGGGATGGGATAGCATGAGTGAGTGAGTGAGTGAGTGAGTTTTAATGCCACTTTGAACAGTATTCCAGTTACATTACAGCGTACAGGCTGATGGTGTCTAAGATGTATAGAGCTGACAATGGGATGAGTGTTGGCAGATGCAGCTCTCAAGGGGATGTGAGGTGGAACAGAATGGGGGTCATTGTTTTATATCATTTAGGTCTTAACGAGAGACAAGGTTATTTCAAACCATCAACTTTCCTCTCCCTGGGCAGACATGCTTAAGGGACACAACTCTGCACAGCAAAATTGAAATAAACAAAAACAAGTGTGCCACCCATACCACAAAGGCTCGCAACAAGACAGAAAGCATCCACAAACAAGTTCTTGGTGAACTGGACCTTGGTATGTAACCAAGATAACAAAGCTACAAAAACCATTGATGAGGTTTCCCTAACCCAACCCTCATCTTAACAACAAGTACCATCTTACTGTCTTTCAGTTTGAGACGGCCACCAGGGGATTGAACCACCGACCTTACACTCTCCCAGTCGTATAAGCATGTGTGTGAGTGAGTGATTGAAAGTTGCAGCAATATTCCAGCATCACCATGGCAGTAAATCATCAAGCCTGGGACATGGTATGGACATGGTATGAACATGGTATATGGACATGGTATATGGACATGGTATACGGACATGTAGTGCTGAAACACTTCCAGATGTTTTGACCCAATTAGTTTAACTTGTACTTATTTTTGTCCGAATTCTCCTACTGAGGTGAGGTGAGGTGAGGTGAGGTGAGGTGAGGTGAGGTGAAATTGTGTGTAACACCTGCATGCATATGTGTGTGTTTGTGTGTGTCTACAAAACTATGGCAAATCTAGATTTCTCATGAAAATGAGAAATTCTAAGTAATCCCGTGTCTGAAATATTGCCATGGTTACAAGACAATTGTACCAAAAACCTGCTACATAGGACTAAATGTTTGCTGTAGTAAGCACCCGGGAGCTTGACAAAAGTGGGGGGGGGGGGATTGACACCAAGCACAAGTTACATTTGTTGTTAGAGACATGGCGGTGCTGGAAACTTGATAAAATGGTATGGATTTTCCAGAAATTACTATGGATCAAGTAAAAGAGATAGCTAACCCATGCCCTTCTACATAAACTAACCCTAATGATCGTAAAGGGGTGCTTGATCGAAAATGGGTACCTAACCCTAATGATCGTAAAGGGGTGCTTGATCGTAAAGGGGTACCTAACCCTAATGATCGTAAAGGGGTGCTTGATCGTAAAGGGGTACCTAACCCTAATGATCGTAATGGGGTGCTTGATCGTAAAGGGGTACCTAACCCTAATGATCGTAAAGGGGTACCTAACCTTAATGATCGTAAAGGGGTACCTAACCCTAATGATCGTAATGGGGTGCTTGATCGTAAAGGGGTAGTAACCCTAATGATCGTAAAGGGGTGCGTGATCAGAAAGGGCTAAATAGAAAGTTGTGGTTAGCCTATGTTTGGGTGGAACACAGACCTGTGAAGTGAGAGCCACAATCGAGCCAATTAATGCTAAATCAGCTGGTCCCAGTAAAGTGCATTGATGAGTTACTCCTTCACCATTGCTGTAATATACACAAAAGAGGACCTGTCGCATAAATCTATTTTGGGAGTATCTAGACTTGCTCGGAGGCCCATATTCAGTCACAAGTCTGCAGCAAATGATTGTACAAATTCCCAATTTGAAGCTAAAATTTCCCAATTCCTCAGAAAGAACGAAAATTTTACGTTACAAAATTCTAATTTTGAACTATATCCCAATTTTAACCGAATTTGCCTGCCAATTCTAGATACATCCTTGCTATTATAGGAGCGGTGAGCTTGATACCACAAATACAGCACACCACGTGACAAATATTATTGAGAACAATGAGACCAAGGTAAAATCACCTACCTTTCACAATCTTCCATTAAGTAGAAAATATCAGGGGCTGTGGTAAGTTGTGTCAGGAGATTGTGTCGGTGGCCACGGAGCCATCTTGGAGAGGGTCTGCAACAATGTCCAACACAATGAGCACAAGTGATTCACAGACCACTCTCAATGCTCTGATACTTTGGAAACCAACAAAACCCTGAATTTCTTTGAAATTTAGATATAAAGAGTTGAATAAAGATGTCACTTTTCCTGGTTCATGATACTGGGATAATTACAGAACTGTTACCATGGTTACAATCAAGTGGTAACACAAAGAAACTAATGTCAACAATATTATTGACTTTTATATTATGTAATGGTGCATAGTGAAGAAAAAGCAGATGTTAAAGGTAATAATCAATGATACAATGAACTTGGCAGGATTGGGAGGGGGGAGAGGGAGAGGGAGGGAAGGGGGGGGGGGGGGGGAGGGAGAGGGAGAGCCAGGAGGGGGACATCGGTTCGGCAGGCCTGTACCACAGCAATGGAATAAAGACAAAGAACTTGATCAATCGAAGGCGCATAATGAATGCATACTCATCATAAAGGGATGTGTTTTTTTTAAGGAAATACGGTAGTTGAATACTTAGGTTTGTTTACACTGAGGGACGTGATGAAGTTGATTAATGATAATAAATTGCAGTTCTTCTGTCGGATGAAATACGGTAGCTGTATACTCTGTTATAGGGAGTGGTTAGTGGGTGAAGGTACGCATTTATCATCCATACAAGAATACAGAAAGCGCGCTGCCTGCCTCTTTGCCACGAAAACACTTGCAATGTGCACCAGAGAGCGGCAAAAACAGGTGACATTTTCTGTGATGAAAGAAAAACTTGCAAATAGCCAAGGGAGGACAAGGTTTGGAACACGCTTCGTCCCTGATTGACAGAATGGCCGCTCTGTGCGGGAAATTAAAGACGTAGAGTGAAATATATGAATGAACTTACCTTCAGATGCATGTGCATAATCGTCATCTCCGTCGATGGAGATGCGACGAGACCCAGCGAGCGAGCACCTTGGGTGTGTTGATGCCAGCCAGCCACAATCAGATACGTTCGCCGCCATGGTCTGCGATTGCGGAAATGACGGCCTTGGCATTCGTGATCTCGATTGTGATTGGTGCTTTGCCGCTTCCTTCCGGGTGGCTTGGTGCCGGCTGTCTAAACTGCGTTTTTTGGCGGTCGGTGCAATGCCCAGATGCTCTCGGTGTAGCCGGTGGCCTTTGAGTGGCTTGGTACCGTCTGGCTAAACTGCGTTTCTTGGCGGTCGGTGCAATGCCGAGATGCTCTCCGTGTAGCCGGTGTAGTCACGTGGTGGATTTGCGTGAAAAACTACATGTACGATGAATAAAAGCTATTCCCTATATTAGAAAAATAAAGTATAATTATGCAATAATTTGTTTTACAGACAACAGAAGATGTGAAGGTAAAGTAATGAAGAGTATAAAACCTGCAGACGAGGTGTAAGATGTATAAATGGTGACAATTGGAAAGAGAGTTAAAACTGCATTGAAGGGCAACAACAGGAAATTGCAAGCAAGCAAGAGAGACAAGAAACAAATTATGCCACACAGTGAAGGAAGTAAAATGAACACTTAAAAATTGTATTTTTTGTTTTGAATTTGTAGTGAATTTTTCTGTAAAAAATGTGATGAAATGAAAGACAAGAGAAGTTAATTTACAATATTGTGTTTGAAAGCAAAGCCGTGGTTAAAAATTGTAGTGAAATTTTGTGAAAAAAACATTGTGTTTGAAAGCGAAGCCGTAAACATGGAAGAAAGCGGGGCAGAAGCGGGTTAAAAGTGGGTCCTGGGTAATCTGGGCAAAAGAAGCGAAAGGGAGAAAAGCGAAAAGGGCGAAGCCTGGAATTGTTGGTGAAAGCCAATCAAAAGCGCGTTAAAAGCGGGGAAGAAGCGGGGTGAAAGCGGGGCGTGGATAATCGAGGCAAAAGAAGGGAAAGGGAGAAAAGCGATTACTGGGCCGGTGAAAAGGGAATTGTTGGTGAAAGCCGATCAAAAGCGCGTTAAAAGCGGGGAAGAAGCGGGGTGAAAGCGGGGCGTGGATAATCGAGGCAAAAGAAGGGAAAGCCGTGGTTAAAAATTGTAGTGAAATTTTGTGAAAAATACATTGTGTTTGAAATCGAAGCCGTAAACATGGAAGAAAGCGGGGCAGAAGCGGTTAAAATGGGTCGGTAGCGGGTAAAAAGCGGAGACTGGGTAATCGAGGCAAAAGAAGGGAAAGGGAGAAAAGCGATTAGTCGGTCGATGAAAAGGAAGCGATCGGATTGGCTCGGGTCGAAGGGTGAGAGTTGAGCGTGGGGTTCATGTAGCTTGTAAGTAGTTCTTTTAAAAAAGAGTTCCTTCCAGAAAGGGCGTTTGCACCCACTCAGGGTGCCCCTGGGCCAAAGCGAACGGCGCCAAGAGACTGCCGACCAAACCTGGAGACACAAGCACTTTCGAAAGGACCCACAAGTACCAGGAAGTGGATTTACAGACGGGTGTGAATTGTCTGGAAAACACCCTTTCTATTTATAAACGTTCGGATATAGCGCGAGATTAACAAGATGACTGGTGGCCCCATTAGCGCTGTGAAATAACACATACTGGCCATGGGTTATGGGCGTACAGGATGGATGGTTTTTCTGGCCCTGGGATGTTTTATTTGTAGGTTCTAAGCTCGCGGCATACCCCGTTAACCACAAGTGCAGGTTTTTTTCCTGGGGCCCAAAATTGAATACCATACGTGTGTTGCACGTTGCATGATATTTCAAGTTTTGTAAATACGCCAAAAATGCTTAAACCACAAAGACATATGCTATTGGTACATTCTGAAACAGAAAGATCAACACTATTCGTTGGATATGAATAATATTTGTGGACCATTATATGTTACATTGATATAGATCTTACTATTTCCCAGCGCACTTTTTGAAATATGAATTAAGAAATATGCTGCAGTCGGGAAGCGCACGTAAAATCTCCAACATGAGTAATTACAAGGGGCCAACATGACAAACGTTTTACTCGGGCTATAGGTAAGAAGAAGCGATGGTTTGTTGAGTGTCAACCGAAGCAGCACTATGAATTGTGTTAATATTGTACAGAACTGATGACAGACACATTCATCTGAAAATGTTCAATTGAAACGCACTGTTGTGTGGTCTCTCTTCGTTTGTCGCTTGTATTGATGGAAGAGAGGACTAAAACACATTTAGTATGGGGTTGGGACACTGAATGGCCGATTTGCTCCGGATAATGTTGCACAACGTTGGACATTATGTACATGGTATCGTAGCCTGTCCAGTTTCATTCCTTTTCTGATCATTCGGCAGAATATGTATTAATAGGCTTAATGTATAGATATCTGGTTCCGAAATGGGAAGGGACATGTTGTTTCTGTTAAAGTACCAGGTGTTTCCATGCAAACACAAATATCAATGATGATGTTATGATGAGCCTATGACTTTTTTCTGAAAGTGGATGTGCGACTTTAATGGTCACGACACAAGCATAATGCAGGTACTTTTTTCTCCCCTCCCCTCCCCTCCCCTCCCCTCCCCTCCCCTCCGACGCACCGGAAGTGTGCATCGGGCAAACCGGAAGGGGGCATACCGGAAGTGGATATACCGGAAGTGGACATCGGGCTAACCGGAAGTGGACATCGGGCAAACAGGAAGTGGACATCGGGCAAACCAGAGGCGGGCACATCTGGAGTTGACAAACTGGAAGTGGACATCGGGCACACCGGAAGCGGGCAAACCGGAAGTGGACATGTGGTACACCGGAAGTGGACAAACCGGAAGTGGGCATCGGGCACCGGAAATGGACTTTGGGCACATCTGGAGTTGACAAACTGGAAGTGGACATCGGACACACCGGAAGCGGGCAAACCGGAAGTGGACATCTGGTACACCGGAAGTGGACACACCGGAAGTGGGCATCGGACAAACCGGAAGCGGGCACACCTGGAGTGGACAAACTGGAAGTGGACATGGGGCACACCGGAAGTGAACAAACCGGAAGGGGATATGGGACAAACCGGAAGCGGACAAACCGGAAGTGAACATCGGGCAAAGCGGAAGTGGGCTTCGGGCAAACCGGAAGCGGGCACACCGGAAGTAGACAAACTGGAAGTGGACATCGGGCACACCGAAAGTGGACAAATCTTAAGTAGAAATCGGGCACACCGGAAGTGGACAAACTGGAAGTGGACATCGGGCACACCGAAAGTGGACAAATCTTAAGTAGAAATCGGGCAAACCGGAAGCGGACAAACCGGAAGCGGGAATAGGGCAAACCGGAAGCGGGCACACCGGAAGTAGACAAACTGGAAGTGGACATCGGGTACACCGAAAGTGGACAAACCTGAAGTACATATCGGGCACACCGGAAGCGGACAAACCGGAAGTGGGCATTGGGGCAAACTGGAAGTGGACATCGGGCAAACCGGAAGTGGGCCTCGGACAAACCGGAAGTGGACATCGGCACACCGGAAGTGGACATCAGTTACGCCAAAAGCGGACACACTGGAAGGGGACATGAGGCACATCGGAACCGGATATCAGGCAAGAATTGAAACTGAAACGAAAATTTGAAATTTACACCTGGACAAACTTTTTGCTTTTCTTCAACACCTACTGTGCATAACCAACTCATTCTTATAAAATACAAAAGTATCAGTATGGGAAAAACATATCTGTCAATTCTTATTTCGTCCATTCGTATTGACTTTAACATTGATGTGTTGACAGTGTCTTATGTATACGGGAACATCTAGAATGACCTCAGTATTTTTCTATTTTATAGCAATGATTTATGTCACCCAATTGAGATATGGCCAGGCTCTTAACCCTTTCCCTGTTCACCTCACACAGTGTATTGCCAAAAGTAGTGGCGAGGCTCCTAACCCTGAACCTGTTCACCTCACACAGTGTATTGCCAAAAGTAGTGGCGAGGCTCCTAACCCTGAACCTGTTCACACAGTGTATTGCCAATAGTAGTGGCGAGGCTCTTAACCCTGAACCTGTTCACCTCACGCAGTGTATTGCCAAAAGTAGTGGCGAGGCTCTTAACCCTGAACCTGTTCACCTCACACAGTGTAATGCAAAAAATGGCGGTGAGGCTCTCAAGGGGTCCTGGGGTCCTGAAGGTTTGCTCCTGTAGTATTTCAATCGGGGGATTTTAATCTAATTCAACTTTCAATATTGTGCTTATGACAAAGACAAACATTTCAGCAATGTTCCAACAATGTTCTAGCAATAGTCCAGCAATATCCAGCAGTGTCCCAACAATGTTTCAGCAATATCCAGTAATAGTCCAGTAATATCCAGCAGTGTCCCAACAATGTTTCAGCAATATCCAGCAGTGTCCCAACAATGTTTCAGTAATATCCAGCAGTGTCCCAACAATGTTTCAGCAATATCCAGTAATAGTCCAGTAATAGTCCAGCAATATCCAGCAGTGTCCAACCAAAGTTCCAGGATTGTCACGATATCCCAGTAAAGTTCAACCAATGTCTCAACTTGTTTTAGAAATTGGAGCACTGCCAGGAATCCACTTTGTTGTGACCGGTGCATACCATCTGGCCCTATTTCCAAGTTGTTTAAGTTACATGACCCAAACATTTTACATGAGTACAATAAGGACCATGGAACTATACCTTACAATGCAGATACATTCCAAGCTAAGGAAAATTAGCAGTGTGCAACTTTAGCCACTTGTCCAAAGCCAGTGTCTAGCAAGGTGCTGTTCGGCCTAGTAAGCTCAGCTAATAAAAGTCCATAGGATGACACTAAAATGTACAAAACATGATACTAGATTCAAGTTAGTGCTAATGAGTCAAAGTATCGGCACACACTGAATGCAGTAACATTTTTCAGCAAACAAGTAACGTTCATGTGAGAGTACAGCTTGACATCAATGGAATAGTCAAAGGAAATTTATTATGACAAAATAAGACATGAAAACCGTCACCATATTTGATAAAAATTATTAACTTAGTGTTAGGCTCAGCCATATTCCAGCTGTATGACGGCAGTCTGTCAATAATCGAGTCTGGACCACACAATCCA